TCTCCCTGATATGAGGAAGTGGAGATGGGAGGTTTTGGGGTGGGAAAAGAATAAATGAAACAAGGTGGGCTCGGGAGGGAGACAAACCATAAGAGACTCTTAATCTCACAGAACAAACTGAGGGTGGCTGAGGGGAGGCGGGTAGGGAGAGGGTGGTTGGGTTATGGACATTGGGGAGGGTATGTGCTATGGTGAGTGCTGTGAAGTGTGTAAACCCTGCGATTCACAGACCTGTACCCCTGGGGCTAATAATACATTATATGTTAATAAAAAAATTAAAAAATTAAAAAAATATAGGGGTTTTGTTGAAATTAACAGATTAACTGTTAACATGAGTAGAAGTATTTTTTTTTTAAAGATTTTATTTATTTATTTGAGAGAGAGAAAGAGAGAGCATGAGAGTGGGGAGGGTGAGAGGGAGAAGCAGATTCCCCGCTGAGCCAGGGGTGTGATGTGAGACTCAATCCTGGAACTCCAGGATCATGACCTGAGCTGAAGGTTAGTCGCTTAACCAACTGAGCCACCCAGGCACCCATTTTTTTAATTACTCATGATAAAAGTTTGTGTGGTAAGTGGGTCAACAACTAGTTTGAACATTGGTTCACTTATTATTATTTTATTACTATTATTATTCAGTTAACTTAAAACTGTTGGTTCACTTAGCCACCAACATTTGTGCCAGGGAAATCTAGATTAATTTTAAAGATTTTTAAAAAGATTTTATTTATTTATTTGAGAGAGAGAGAGAGAGAGAGTTCACCAGTGGGGGCAGGGAGAGGGGCAAAGGGAGAGAGACAAGCAGATTCCCTAGGCAGCAGGACGTGGGGCTCAGTCCCAGGACCCTGGGATTATGACCTGAGCTGAAGGCAGGTGCTTAACTGAGTCACCTAGGTACCCCTAGATTAATTTTTTTGATCAGGTAGCCTAACAATTATACCAATGTTCATGTATTTCATTTTTATTCTAGTATGTATTATACTCCTTAGTTTTGCTTAACCAATAATAGCTACCTCTACCCTTTCCCAATAGGATACATATATAACCTCACTGTGGCCACTGTTATGAGCTTACCACAGTGCCTTAGCATGTCTCAGGTGGACTTTGCAGTAATAATCTGCTTTCCTCATCCCCTGGTTTCTCCATTTCTTATTAGACACCTTGGCACTTCTCAACGTGCAGTGCCAGTAGATCCTTCTACTTTCAGAGCTCTCCAATGCTTGCTTAAAGCATAAAATCCTTAGCATCATTCAAAGCCAATGCAGATGGGCCTTCCACTGCTGTCCTGCATGGACCAGTTGTATTTAAAATATGTCAAGGGAGGATGAGCCTTGCAGGATAATGTTATGTTTCTGGATTAAAGAATCTGGTTCTTGTCTTTGAAGGTGTAAAATACATTATGATACATTCTTCCAGAGTTCTCTATAGTTTCCTATAGATGATCAGGGTCTATAGAACAAACTTGCATTAAACAGACTCAATACCAGAATGTTTGTATATTAACTTCGAGTGAGGAATATATAACCAAAGGGACCAGAATTTTCTTGTTGGCGGCCCAGGAAGTGTGCTCCTCCTTGCTGTATAGTGGGCCAGCTGATTCTACTAGTTCTTTTCTCCTTGTGTACCATACAGTTCAGGCCCGGCCTGCGGTTGGAAGAGGTTGCTTTGTCCTGCAGGTTTTGGATTTTTGAGAAATACTCTGGTTTAGGCCAAGCATCGTGCTGAATTTCGTTTCTATCAGTAACACATTTTTGTGCCTTCTCCTGCCTAGTACTTCCTTGAATGACGACCTTAATGTATTAAATACTGTGTTTACTGTCTTTTATTTCAGAGGGGGATCTTTTTTGACCTTATCCTGAAATTCTGAGGGTGCCCTACGGTAGGATTCGCTATGCTGTCGTATACCCTATACTCTAAACTAGCCCACTTGCTGTTCCCTGATTACATCCCTTCCCTGCGATGATTTCGTTTTCTCCTCCTGGCTTTTCCTCTGTCTGGATTGTTGAAATCCTACCACTTCCTTAAGTTCTGTCTTGAATGCCACCCTTCTTGATTCTTCGGACCTGATGTGCTCTTTCTCCTATGAATTATATCCCTTTTCTGTGGTACTGTCCTGTTATGCTCTGTAGTGAAGTTACTTGTTTTATCTTCTAGGAGGGTCGGTCAAGGTACTATGCGTGACTTGCCTCCTGTTTTCCTGCCATTCGTGGTATATTTAGTAGGTGCTCACAGATTTCTTACTGCATTGAGTTAAATGGAATTTTCCTTTAACTCTAGACCAAGTCTCAAATGGGATCCTTGGACCAATATCAGCATCACCTGCCAACTTGTTAGACCTGCACATTCTTGGTCCCCACTCCAGACCTACCGGGTCGGACACTCTGGTGTTGGGTATCAGCAATCAGTTGTTTAACAAGCCATGTGTGTGAGGTTGTAGTCTTTCTATCAAGAGATGGATCTTCCATTGATAGGAAATTCAGTGATTTTCAAATTGCGCTCAGTTGAGCCATGGGAATTCCATGGCACTCTTGGTGCTAAGAGTGGAGAGTACTGGGCATCCAGATTCCCTACTCCCTTCTTGGCCATGGCTTTTTGCCTTTTAATGCACTAGCCTGCCATATCAACTTTCCTTGCAGAAAGGTTCTATAACCAAAAAAGTTTGAAAATTATTATTAAATTAGGGGTCATCAAACTATAGTCCTTTTTGTAAACAAAGTTTGATTAGAGCACAGCCGTAACCATTTGCTTACACATTGCCTGTGGCTGGCTGCATTCTACAATGGCAGAGGGGACTAGTATGGGGAATGCTCATGACCCACAAACCTCAAATACTTGCTCTCTGGCCCTTTAAGAAAAAATGTTGGTAATCCCTAATCTAAATCAATCAGAACCTTGAAGTAAAGAGCATGAACATCCCTGACTAGCACTAAGCCCATAATTTTTACTCCATAGAACCCCCCCCCCACCTCATGTCTTCTTCTGGAAAATGAGGACATGGTCAAAGAGTGATTGTAGCACCTGTACTCTTGAAAAAAAAAAAAAAGTGCAGCAGACAAAAAGAAGTGAAGGTTAATGAGAACAGATTTTCTTACCTATCTCATTTGCCCCTAAGATCTTGAATATATTCCAGGACATTAGAGTCATTACTCTTCACAGTCACACTAATGAAGTCAGGTGTTTTGTATCACATTTGACTTTAAAGAAGGAAAATGTGAAATACTTAAAGATATCCATTAAAAAGCTGTAATAAAAGTCCCTTTTATTATAAGCTTTAGTTATTTAGTAAAAGTTTTAGTTGGGAAAACTTTGTGTTTGACATTTTCACAATTTTAAAAAAGATTTTTTAAGAGTTTTTTCTAAACCAGTTATATGTATAACCATTTTTGTAATTATTGAATTCATTAGGAGTCCAAATGCTTACATTTACATTTGCTCATGATCCTGGAGCCTGTCTACAATGACATTCAACTATGGTAATGACATAAGGATCCTCTTCTGAATTTTAGTTCATCCATTAGAGCTGCCCTTGGATGTTAGTTTTTTTTTGTGTGTGTGTGTGTGTGTGTGTTTTTTAAAGATTTTCTTTATTTATTCATGAGAGACAGAGAGACAGAGGCAGAGAGAGAAGCAGGCTCCCCATAGAGCAGGAAGCCCGGTACGGGACTCGATCCCACGACCCTAGGATCACAACACAAGCAGAAGGCAGACACCCTGTCGACTGAGTCACCCAGGCGCCCTGGATGTTCGTTTTTAAATTGCCAAGGGAAGTCAACCAAAAGCGGCAGAAAGATTTATCACTTGTCATTATGAAATAGAAATTTTAGTGGAAAAGTTCACCTTGCCATGCAGATAATGTCCTGGTGGTAGTCCATGAAGTAAAAGTCTATGGGAAGACCTCGAGGAAGCCTTGGAGAAGGAATTGAAGCTAGAAATGTTATCCCCAAGCAGCTCATAAATCGTGGTGTCTGTAAGGGGTGGGGTGGCGTCCTGCTGCCTTAGTTTTGCTGCAGTCATTGACCTGCTGTTCTTATTGGTCTTCAGCTATGTCAGTGGCCGGAAGGTCAATCAGGGAAATCGTAAATTGCCACCTTTCATCGACTTCGCCTATTTTTAGGATTTCTGGTTTTAATGGGCTATTTGTTCATGAATAATTCAGTTTCTTCCAGGAGATGCAACTTAATGAAACCTCACTTAATGGGTTTGAGTATCGAGTGCTGGTAAAAACTTATTGCTTATGGTAAGACTTTTGAAGTGACTTCACAACTAATAGAGCTGTGGGAAGTCTGAAAGGAGGAATGGTTATAAGAGGATTCTGTGGTATGAGCAGCCTGTCTGAGAGATGTTCTTATCTCATCACTTGGCTTACGAAAGCTGTCCCTCTAGTCTGGGTAGCTTCTGTAGAAAGACTAAAGTGTGTGTTGCATTTTGTGTCTTATCTGGAGTTTATATTTACCCATCCACATCAGTGTACATACCACCGGAGCTGTGCAGGATGACCACTGTGGAATGGGAAGAACATCCTAGAATGCCAATATTTTAATTTAATACAAAAATTCTTACCTTTTGTATATCTTTTACGAAGTCATATTAGACAGTAGTCTATATAGTCTGTGAACAAAAGTGTTTCTCATGGGCATGTCTCTTCAGAAATCTTGAGTGACGGAAGTGCACAACCAGAAAAGTTGAGACCATTGTTGTATACACCAGGTATTGGGTTTTATGTGGTAATTAAATCCTGTAGACAGGTATGTGCTATTAGAAGGTTTTGATAAACAAGGGCTTCGTTCAGGTCTTTAGTTTGCTGCTCAGTTTATCTGAATTTCAGTTAAAAGGGTAAAACTGAAAGTAAATGTATTAATATCTTTTGTATCTGTCAATAGTTTCTCACTCTTCCTCAGCAATGTGTGTTCCAAGTCACGTCTTACAGTCCTTAACTAGTTGTTCGTGTAAAGCATTGACAGTGTTTTATGGTTCTTCAGTTTGTTTGCTTTTGTTCTGTGTAGCTTCAGGGGCCTTGTCGAAGTTAACTCATGGATTGAAAGACGAATCGCTGGCTTATATCTATCATTGCCAAAATCATTATTTTTGTCCAATTGGCTTTGAAGCAACCCCTGTGAAAGCTAATAAAGCATTCAGGTAAGCATTTACATATCTTTTGTGGCTAATTCCCCAAGAAAATATGTGGCAGAAAGCATTTAAGAAATAGTTGCTCAGAAATTGGAAGATTTGGTTATTTGGTTTCTTTAGATCAAGTTAGACTGTTCTTTTTTTTAAAGGTAGACTCTTCATTTGTATTCCAGCTAATTCTTTTGCAGAGTGGCATTTGGTTAGCTGTGCTTTTACATTATCCACTTAGATATTGTTGTTCAGACTCATAAAGGGAAAGACTTTTGAAAGACTCACTCTTAACGTTTATTGTAAAATGGTTGCGTAGGACTTCACGTATTATGTCGTGGTGTTTTCATCCGTTGTGCCACATGGAAAATGAATTATGGAGTCTAATATCAAAAAATTGTCCCAACTGAGTCCATTAAGCAGCCTCTTCTTTCCTCATAGTGAAAAAACGTGGAATTTGTCAGTGTTCCCCCCTTTGTCCTGGGAGAGTGGCCTTGGTACTTCAGGAGGAGGAAGGGGCAGCACTGCTCTTTCAGTGAGACCTGAGGTCATCTGGGGGTAGGATGGGTTCTTTGAGGCTGGAGGCCATGCAGCATGATTCCCCTCTCAAGGCACTATGGGATTGCAGGATCCTGGGACAGGATCCTGAGACCTGGGAGAACCAGGAAGCTGAGCAGTGTATTTTTGTGAATGAGGAACAAGGGGGAAACTACTTCATCTCTCCAAATTCTGAAATGTTTTATTCATCTCTCTGGAGGTGAAGTATGTTGTTTCTTCTATGGTCTCATTCTACAACTTCACCTTACTCCTGACATCTATCAAATATAAAACGTGCAACAGTGGGTCTTCCTACTCTGTACCCATTAGGGTACACCTCTCTCTGTACCTAACAATCACCTGGACACCTTTACAACTGGGCAAATCCCTCCCCTTGCTTGACTCCAGACTTACTTGGATTAGTTTCCAGAGGTGGGATTAGGGCATTGGTATACTTTAGGGTTTTATTTTTAGAATGCCTTTTTAAAAAAAAAAATTTTATTTATTTATTTGATAGACAGAGATCACAAGTAGGCAGAGAGGCAGGCAGAGAGAGAAGGGGAAGCAGGCTTTCTGCTGAGCAGAAAGCCCGATGCGGGACTTGATCCCAGGACCCTGGGATCATGACCTGAGCCGAAGGCAGCGGCTTAACCCAGTGAGCCGCCCAGGTGCCCCCAGAATGCCTTTTGAAACTTTTTAAATGCGCAGTGAAAGGAGATGAACGGCTGGAGAATGCTGGTAGCATGCTAGGATGTTTTTCTTCTTTTGAGATGCTGAGGGAGGAGGTATGTTCTTCTTTTTTTTTTCCCTAGTCCTATATTTTATAATAGAGATTAAAACCTAAGTGTAATTTATGCTTTCTCTTTAATGGCCTTAAGAAATTTGTTCAAACCCGAACTCCAGTATCTATTCTAGCATTAATGAATGTCGTATTTGAATAAACATTAGTATATCTTTTATTAACATAGCTGAAGCGATATTTTCAAAGGAGTGAATGGCCTTTATTAAGCTTACTATGAATGAATTTTATATTTAGCAGGGGCCCCCTCTCACCACAAGAAGTAGAATATTGGATCTTAATTGGAGAATCAAGTAGAAAACATCCTGCTATTCACTGTAAAAAGTACGTTAATTTCCCATTTTCTCTTTAATTTAGGTAAGATTTAATATAGTGAAATGCACAGATCTTAATTGTGTCATTAGGTGGATTTTGGTAACTGAATATACTTGTTTATCACCACCCCAGTCAAGATAAGGAAGATTTTCATTGCATTGAAAGTACCCTCATTCTCTTTTCCTGTTAGTCCCCAGAGACAACCTCTATCACTGTGGAATTGCTTTGCATGTTCTTGAAATTCACGTCAATGGAGTCGTACAATATTCTTTCTTGTCTGGCCTTGTGAGATTAACCACTATGTCATGCATGTCATGCTTCTTTTTTTATTGCCGAGTGGTATTAGGTACCGTAAGTATACCATAGTTTGTTATCCGTGTCCCTGTTGATGACCATTTGGATTGTTTTCAGTGTGGTCTTTTGTGGGTGAAGCTGTTGGGAACATTAATGTACATGTCTTTAAAAAATTTTTGAGTAACAGCTTCATTGAAATAAAATTCACATACCATAAAGTGCGTCCTTTAAAAATATAAAAAGTGTTCAATGGATTTTAATGTATTTAGAGTTGAGCATCAGTCCCCATGACCTAATTCCAGGACATTTTCATAACCCCCACAAGAAACCCCATACCCATTAGCAGTCACTCCCCAGCCCCCTCCCCTCAGCCCCTGATCTACTTTCTATCTCTGTACATTTGCCTAATATGGACATTTCATATAAATGGAATCATAAAACGTGTGGCCTTTTGTGTGTTTTTGTTTTTTTCACTCAGAATAATGTTTTCGATGTTCATCTGTGTTGTAGCGTGGACCAGAACTACATTCCTTTATACGGCCAAATAATTTTCTGCTGTATGGATATGCCACATTTTCTTGTGCAAGTTTTTTGAGGACATTTTTCTATGTTTTGTTTCTCTTGGGTAGATACCTAGGAGTGGAATTGCTGATTATAGGATGGATGCGTATTTAAGAAACTGGGAGAATGTTCTCTTGTGGGGTTGTACCATTTTATACTCCCACCAGCATTGTATGGACAGTCCGGTGGTTCTTCATATCTTCAAAAATATTTGATATTTTATTCCTTTTTTTTACCTTTTTAAAAAAATTTTCCCAGCTTTATTGAGGTATAACGCACCAATACAACTGTATATGTTTAAAGTGTCCAATGTACTGATTTGACATTTATTTTGTGAAACGATTACTGCAATCAAGTCTTAATTAACATATACATCAGCTCACATAGTTACCTTTTCTGTGTATGTGGTGATAATACTTAAGATCTACTCTTTTAGTGAATTTCAAGTATATGGTACAGTATTAAGTATAGTCACCATGCTGTACAGATCCCTAAGTGTTTTAATGGTATTGTAAACTGGTTTTTAGAAAGTTTTATTTATTTATTTATTTATTTATTTATTTATTTTTTTAAAGATTTTATTTATTTGACAGAGAGAGATCACACGTAGGCAGAGAGATAGGCAGAGAGAGAGGAGGAAGCAGGCTCCCTGCTGAGCAGAGAGCCCGATGCGGGGCTCGATCCCAGGACCCTGAGATCATGACCTGAGCCGAAAGCAGAGGCTTTAACCCACTGAGCCACCCAGGCGCCCCTAGAAAGTTTTATTTAAAAAAATGTGTCTATTTTCTAGTTTTATTGAGAAATAACTGGCACATACCACTATATAAGCTAACAGTGTCCATCATGATGGTTTGATTTACATATATTGTGAAATGATGGCCACAATAGGTTTAGTTAACAAGAAGTCCTCCTTGTGATGAGAACTCTTGGGATCTACTCACTTACCACTTCTGTATATATCATAGAGCAGTGTTTGCTGTAGTCACTATGTTGTACATTATATCCCCAGTACTTATTTATAACTGGAAGTTTGCACCTTTTGGCACTTTCCTTCAAAAATTTCAGTTCCTAATTATTTTCTGGTAGTGTACAAAAATACAATTTGTTTATATACATAGGACCTGAATACTGCATTTTTATCAAACACATTAATTTCAATAGTAGTTTTATAATCCAAAGTAATTTGTAATTGTTTTGGATTTTCTATACAATCAGTCATGTTGCCTGTGAATAAATGCACGTTAACTTTTTTTTTTTTTTTTTAAGATTTATTTCAGAGAGGGAGAGAGAGAGAGAGAGAGGAAAGTGTGAGCATGTAGAGGTGGGAGGGAGGGGTGAAGGGAGAGGGAGAGGGGAAGCCGACTCGCCACTGAGCTGAGTGTGGAGCTAGAGGTGGGGCCATCACCTAACCAGGAGATCCTGACCTGAGCCAAAAGCAAAAGTGGAACACCCAACCGACAGCCACCCAGGCACCCTCATGTAACTTAAATCTTTTGAAAACTTGACTTTAATTAAAAAGGAAATATGGACTGTTTCTACTCTAGCCTGCAGGATGTCATGTAACAGGTTGATACATATATATTTCTTTGTGAAAGTAGCCTTTTTAAAACCCAGAATCTTGGCAATAGTTGGTTAAACAGAAATGTCATAAAAAAAAATTAAAGCTTAGTAGTTGGAACAACCTTGACAAGAGAATTATTGTCACGGTAATACTGTAGCAAATTGCTCATGTGCAAAGTTCCATTACAGGGGCACCTGGGTGGCTCCGTGGGTTAAGTGTCTAACTCTTGATTTCAGCTCAGGCTGTGATCTCGGGGTCATGACATCAAGTCCTGCATTGGGCTCTGCACTCAGTGCAGAGTCTGCTTGTGCCTCTGCCCAACTCAAATAAATAAGTCTCTTTCTCTCTCAAATAAATAAGTAAATAACATCTTCTAAAAACATTCTATTACGGTGGTATTTTGTACTTAAAATGTGCTTTAACCTTCCTTTTTCACTATAGGTGGGCAGATATTGTTACTGATCTCAACACTCAAAATCCAGAATATCTAGACATCCGACACTTGGAGAGGGGGCTGCAGTACCGAAAAACAAAGAAGGTAAGAACACAATAGTATTTGAAGATATTTCCCAGTCAGCCAGTATGCAGTATACTATTCAGCACTCTTTAGGTTGTAAATAATGGAAATCCACTTCAGATTATTTTAGATAGAAAAGCGAGAATTACTTTTAGGACCCAGGAGTATCTTTAGAATGAAAAGCAAAGACTGTAGCCTGGATTCGTAACAGACTGGTATCAGCTTAAAGAATGTTATCAGAGGCCAAGGAGCTAACCTGTCTCATTCTTTTGGGAGTTGTATGCTAGTCTTATCTGATTATTTACTTCCAAAAGATCAGGAACTTCAACTTATATCTCGCTTTCAGATGAGCCGTCTAGACTGAGACTCACCTGCCTCTGGCCTAGTTTGAGTCAGGTGTTCACTCCTGACCCTGTGAACTGTGGCCAGGAAGCAGAGCCATGTGTGCACAAGGAAGCTGGGGGAAGTTCTCAAGGAAAGGTAGATTCTGCAGATTGATACGCCACTGATATGATACTACTAACATCAAGAACATAGAAGAGACAGGAAGAGGAATGATCTTGGTGTTTGAAGATTTTATTCATTTATTTATTTATTTATTTGAGAGTGAGCCTAGTGTGAGAGTGAGTCGGGGAGGAAGGACAGAAGGAGAGAGAATCCCAAGTAAACTGCATTGAGTGCAGAGCCAGATGTGAGGCTCAATCTTACAACCCTGAGATCATGACCTGAGCTGAAATCAAGAGTTGGCTGCTTGATCGATTGAGCCACCTAGGCACCCCAAATTTTGGAGTTTGGGTTAGGCAAATAGGGAGGTAACAGTGTGTGTGAGTGGTGGAGGGGCATATGGGGGGAACTGTTACATTTTTGTAAAGGCAGCTGGTCAAGAAAGATGTGTGTTAAGGCGATCTGGTGATGTCTGTTTTGAGGCAGGTGAAGGAGGAAAAATAAGGGAAATCATAAAAACCCACATTATAAGCATAATTCCTTTTCTTTTTTTTTTTTTTAAGATTTTATTTATTTATTTGACAGACAGAGATCACAAGTAGGCAGAGAGGAAGGCAGAGAGAGAAGAGGAAGCAGGCTCGCCGCTGAGCAGAGAGCCGGATGCGGGGCTCAATCCCAGGACCCTGGGATCATGACTTGAGCCGAAGGCAGAGGCTTTAACCCACTGAGCCACCCAAGTGCCCCCCTTTTATTTCCTTAACCCAACTTTTTTTTCTTCTCAGGTTGGGGGAAATTTGCATTGCATCATAGCATTCCAGAGACTTAATTGGCAAAGATTTGGCCTTTGGAACTTTCCATTTGGAACGGTGAGACAAGAATCACAGCCTCCAACACATGCCCAGGGAATTGCCAAATCGGAGAGTGAAGATAATATCTCCAAGAAGCAGCATGGGCGTCTGGGTCGGTCTTTCAGTGCTAGTTTCCATCAGGACTCAGCATGGAAAAAGATGTCCAGTATCCATGAGAGAAGGAACAGTGGCTATCAGGGTTACAGTGATTATGATGGGAATGATTGACCATGCTGGGTACTGAACATTTTGTGTTACACACATGAATGGTCTATACAAGACTGCATTAAGACAGTAGAAGTTTTATTAAGTCTACACTAAATAGGAACAGATCTTGTGGTATAAAACATACCCTTGTAGTTCTCCAGTAAATAAGCTTGTATATGATTATGATGGGAGATTTCAGATATGTAAGCAGATAAGCACAGATTACTGTCCTTTTAAAGTTAAGAGTATGAAAACATTATGGACAATTTTACAAAATCCAACAAATTGCATATAAAGAAATCAAACACAAATTTACTTAATAGCATCATGATTTGCAATACTTAAGCATGAAATTATTTCCTATGACTTAATCACCAGACATTTGTTGCAGATTGTTTTATTCCTAAACTCAAGATGTAAGGCACCATCTGCCCTTTTAAACAAAATTGGGGCTGTTGATTTCTAGTTTCCTCTCATGGTTAAAACTCATTTAAAATTTAGTGAATCTAGAATTCTTTTACTTGTACGCAGTATTTTACCTGCCTCATTTGTTTCCTGACTAACTTTCTCAGGATCCTCAATAAAGAGGCAAAAGAGAAGACTCAAGAAAGTCATCTTTTCTATTGGTGCATTGATTCAGGATATTCTTGACTTTTTTGACTTGGTATCTTAGTGTACAATATTGGCAAGATTTTCAGGTCTTGAGAGCTCTCTTTCTACAATGATCCTTGTTTTGGGATAGAATAAAAAAAACAAGTGGGATCCAAAGTTTCTACTTCCAAGGTAATCTGTGAAATGAGATCTTGTGATATTTGATTAGTCCCTCAGCGTGGAGTCCTATGTTGTTAACAGCATTAAAGATGCATTAGGAATGTTATGTCACTCAGAGCGCAAATATCCATATTCCCAACTCTGAGCTGCTTCTTTTAAAAATCTGTACAATTAGCTGTTTGAAGTGAGTGTTAAGTAGTTCCAAAAGAGTGGATTTCATGTATTTGAGCTCCTGTCTAGTTGATGTCAATTTTTCTTCTCTGCCAACCTATGACTTGTTTCATTTAGGGGCTGTTCCATGACTCAGATCAGTAACTTGATTATGACAAGGTGCTGAATATGTTGGTAACCATATTGCAATACACCTCAAGAAGAGGGTTCAGATTTTTATTTTTAAAATATTTTCATTTTCTTCTCTTTTGAATTTTATATCCATTTATCCACTCAGACATACCTAGCCTACAGACAGGGATATATATTATGAAATGGTCATTTTTCTGAAGAGAATATTTTGCGTGAAATGCAAAGGACCGAAAGAGATTTGTAGGTTGTTGATTTTGTTACTTCACACTGGAACTTTTAAGAAGTTTTCATCAAATAAAGTTTTGTTTTCTACTTTTAATAATGTGGATGTTTTGAACCTTTATTTTAGGTAGGGATTACCCTTGGAATTCTGTGTGAAGTATGTGACAATAGCGCCTGAGTAGTGTGTTATAAGAAACTATCATGGGGCACCTGGGTGGCTCAGTGGGTTAAAGCCTCCGCCCTCGGCTCAGGTCATGATCCCAGGGTCCTGGGATCGAGCCCCGCATCAGACTCTCTATTCAGCAGGGAGCCTGCTTCCTCCTCTCTCTCTCTGCCTGCCTCTCTGCCTACTTGTAATCTCTGTCTGTCAAATAAAATAAATAAAATCTTAAAAAAAAAAAAAAAAAGAAACTATCATGTATCAGACTTTTATAAACGAAACAATATACATTATGACTATAATTTTAGATTCTGAAATAGAAACTTTAATTAGTTTGAACCAAACGAAGTTGTCATTTTTATAGGTCAAACATAGTTGAATATCAGCAATTTCATAGAGTTTAATGAAACATTTCAGAGAAGAGGCAGATAGGAAGAACCAAGAGGAAAGGAGACAAATGCAACATAAAGAATACAGTGACACCTAAGAAAGAGGATGAATTTATATAGATTGCCTATTGGCCATTAATAATTTTTACAAAAGTCTTGATATATATGATTACTTAATAACCTGACGTATAAGTTCAGCTGTTATTAAGAGTAGAATGAGGTTTATAGAGACTAATTTTCCAAAAACTGTGCAAGTTACTGCACACTTTTCTTTCAAGGTTAGTAACGTTCCTGTCATATTTGATTTTTTGGTCAACTCTTCTTAGGAGTTTCTGTAGAAGCAATGAAGGTTCAAATACTGGCTCTGTACTCACTAGCTGTTTCACCTTGGGCAAGATTAATGTTTCTGTGTTTATTTTCTCATTGGTAAGGTGGGGATAATAGCATATATTTTATAAACTGTTTTGAAGAATAAATAATGTATGTACAGTGTTTAGAACGGTGCTTTCCAGATAGTGCTTGCTATTGTTACTCCAAAAGATGTGTATTTCTGTTCAGAATCTTGAGAGCTCTTTAAGCAGCATCTAAAGGATGCTGTAAGTCATACACACACACACCCCTAAGTTACTGTTCCTTCAAAAGAATATTTTGTATTTAAGACACGTTGCTCTGGTTTTAAAAGCACTCATAATGCTCAAATGCCTACACTGGCTATTTGTTTTTACCCAGCTCGTAGGCATTAAAAAAAATGTTCATTTGGATCAAATCCTGAAACTATTCCTTTCCACACTACTATGCTGGCCCATCATTAGGCCAGGTTGGTGCAGCAGCTAAAACACATCAAACTTGCTTTTTCCCCAGACACTAAAGGGGTGCAGGCAAGTTGCTCTGGGATCCATCGTTTGTGTATCAGTTTTACCCACAGCATTTTCTCCCTTAGTCATTCACTCAGCAAACTAGTTTGAACACCATTACCCATTAGGTGTTTCATATTAAATCACTGATCTCAGAACAACCCCAAGAAGAAGTTGGCATCTCCATTTTTTTACAGACTCTCATTGGTGAAGAAACTTGCTTAGGATCATAGAAGAAACTTGCCATTATAACAAACACTACAGACTAGGGGGCTTAAAAAACGAATTTATTTTCTCACAGCTCTGGGGGCTGGAAGTCTGAGATCAGAATGTTGCCCGTTTGGTTTTTCCTGAGACTTTCTCCTTGGCTTGCAGATGGCCACCTTCTAGCTATGTCCCCACAGGGTCTTTCCTCTGTGCACACATCCCTCTGTGCACCCAAATTTTCTCTCATAAGGACAATAGATTGGGTCAGGTTCACCCTCACAGCCTCATTTTAATCAGTTTTAAAAGGCCCATCTCTTATCACCACGTTCTGAGGTGCTGGGGGTTAGGGCTTTAACATAGCAGTTTTGGAGCTGAATGCAATTGAGCCCACTAACACAGGGTTATTACGTGGCTCAGACAGGGTTTGGACCAATGGATGCCTGACTTGGGAGGAAATTCTTTCAGGAGGGCGCTAGATACAAGGGACAGCTTTACACTAGAGGCCAAAAGAGGTCATTTAGGCAATATTTGTGGAATACCTGCTAAGTGTCTGGAGTGTGTGTGTGTGTGTGTGTGTGTGTGTGTGTGTTGGGGGAACCGGCAAAAACTGAATAAGCAATTTTACTAAACTCTGTAAAATACAACTAGTAACTATTTGTGGGAATTACTCCATTGATGGAGAAAATGCAAAACACTTTGTGCAATGGTTTTGCTAAAAATTATTTTTGATATTCTGTCATAAAGGGCTCCTTTAACAAAACCACCTCATTTAAATCAAACCTTTCCACTGAGCTTGAATTTCGTTTCAATACTTCAAATTAGAACCAGTGTGTATGATAAGGCTATCATTTAATGAATAGTAGTGATAAATGGTCTGCATACGTCACCTCCGATCCTAGCTGAAAGTCTGCCAAAACTGGTTTTGCGCTCAGTTTGCATAAGAAGAAACCAGTTCGGAACAAACGTTACTTGAACAATACTGATCACGAAGACGTGGCGGTGTGGCCGCCATCGGACTCTGAGCCCGAGAGTTCTAGGGCGCCTTCCCAAAAGCGACTCCGATAATTAAGTTTCTTGCCATTTCTGACCTACAAGCCGTGGAATCCTACATTTAGACGCCAGAGAAAACCAAACTATATCTCAAGAGCGAAGGCTTTTAAAAGTTGCTTAACTTAAAATGATGCCCTATTATCTAGCTCCTACAAGTTATCAGACAAAACACGAACTTAAAAACAGCAGCACAGCATCCACCTTTCTGTTGCCGCCTCTCACCTAAAGCATTTGGTATTGAGAGTGCAGAAGGAGCGGCTGGTGGGGAGAGACTGAAACGCAGAAGAGACGCAGAAAACTGTCACCTCAGCAAGAAGGCTCTCTGCGTGTACTTCCAGCGTGTGGCTGCGACAGAATGCCAGCGTGGAGAAAGCCCGGGAATAACAGGACACAGACGCACGGACCGATCCGCCCCCTCGCCTCGGGAATGGAAAGGCGCAGCGAATATACGTCACGCCGCGTGGCGGGACTTCCGTCTTGAGCCTCGTCTTTGACGGAAGCCGAGAGGCCCCATTTCGCGTGGGTTAACGCACTAACTCAAGAATCAGGCCGGGTCGGGGGAACGTCTTCTGGCCGTTTATCTCGCCTGCGCTGTCCTCTCAGCCTGCTCTTCCGTTAAGAGTGTTTACATTTGGCCAAAGCTTGGGCTTGAGGAGGACTCACTCCTTTCCGACGCCGGCCATTGTCTGGTCCTGCCTTTCTTCCGGGAGGCAGCGTCCGCCGCCGGGAAGTACCGTTCTCGCCGGTGCCGGTGTTCCCTCGAAAACCGCGTGTTCTGAATTAGTCTCCGCCTTCCCTGGGTGGGAGCAGGGGGAGCTCTGCCGGGCCCCGGCGGTGGTGCAGGCTGTGGTAGAATTGGAATAGAAGGCCCCGCGCGACCCCGCCCTCGACTGTCGCTGGGGACCTCATGGGGGTCCACGGGCTGTGGAAGCTGCTGGAGTGCTCCGGGCGGCAGGTGAGCCCGGAGACGCTGGAAGGGAAGATCCTCGCCGTGGGTATCCTTAACGTGTTCCTGGACGCCGGGATTCGCGTCGGGTTCTTACTCCCTCGGGGCTTCCCCCTGGGCGCAGAATGGTGTTGGTCAGATGACAGTCCCACTGGGGGTGGTAAGAGCATCCCCTTCACGACGTCGTCTCTCTCTGAGTGTCTGCTGGTCCCCGCTTTGCAGTCACGCCGCGCTGGGTTGGAGTCCTCGGGTTTGATCACTTAGGGGCAGAGTTTTACGCCGCTCTGTGCCCTCGTTCCCTCGTCTGCAAAGTGGAGGTGATAATCGTAGCTACGCACAGGGTTGGTGTGAGGAATAAAGGAGTTATGTAAGGAAAAGGAGCTTCGCTGACATTGCACAGCCTCAAAGTATCATCCCTCCTGGGAGGTCAGCACGGAGAAGGTGAAGCGGACTCCCAGCGGCAGTTTTGCCTGCTGCCCCGAGTCCTGCTCCGCTCAGGTTCGTTAGGAGGATAGCGTGGGCAGGTGTTTGACCTTTTTTTTTTTTTTTTTTTTTAAGTAATTTATTATTATTATTTTTTTTATTGTGAGTTTTGGAGTAGGAAATTGATGTACCACACCGGAAAGATTTCAAAAGGTCCACAGTGTTTCGTTTTGTTTCCTCCCAGCCTCTGGGATGGACTTTTAAAGGACTGTCATTTGTGTATACGTCTGGCTGGTTTGGTGTTTTAGGAATTAAATGTTTTTCTTCTTTATCAAAATATGTGAATACTGTCTCTGCAATTTTGGTCATTTTTTATTCATTAAACCTTCTCCACCTCCTCCTCCTCCTTTTTTGAGTGGCTGTTCTGGAAGCTGGTGGTAGCTTAGGCCAGTTCCCTGCGCGCGCACCTGTGAGCCTAGGAGTTCATGAGCGAGGTGGAGAAGAGTGTCATGCAAATGATTGCTGTTGGTGGTAAATGCAGTTTAAGAATAGGTGGGATTTCTGCAGAGGGAGCCGCTGAGAGAGGAATCATTATTTGGTATGGAGACAACTTATACATAATGGGACACTGGTAATTTTTCAAAGAAAGTTAACATGGTGATGGTATTTTCTTCGGTGTGAATAATCTTGAAATGCATTTATAATGAGTTTTGGCTTGCTTGAAAGTTTTTATGCGTGATACCTTGTGTAGGGAGAGGAAAAGTGTGTTGGTGGGGGGGGTGCGGCGGGGCGCATGTGCTATTGCTGCCCTCTAGTGGTTCTTCAAATCCCTGCTTTCTAAAGATTTTCTTTATAGACCTGTATGTGAAGGAAAGCCCAGTTTTCAGTAACAGCAACTCTTCAAACCTCAGCAAAGACTTAGGCATTTTCTGTTGTAACCTCGATGAAGAATTAGTAATTTCTAAAATCTTTAAGATGATGCATGAAGTTCAGCATTCTAATTTTTTAGGACGTTGTCCAAAGTAAGGAAGTTAAAGCATTTAATTTAAAATTTAGATTATCTATTTTTAGATGACTCAGGAGCTCTTTGGGGACATGAAGTAATTTTCATGAGGTTATTAAGTTTTTCTGAAAGGACAAATCATTTAAAGAGGATGTCAAAGATCTTCCAGTGATAATTACAATCTCATATGTATTTATCTGTATAAAATATATATGTAAAAATACTTGATTGCTGTTTTATAATTGGTTTTGCTTTGTTTCGTTTTCATGGGAATTCGAATTCAAATATCTGATCTATATCCCATTTTTTGCCTTATTTGTTAAGAAATTATGCATTACATACTAGGTTCATAACTTACTCTTGGATCCCTAAAATATATATATTTTAACCCATCTATAGGTGAGTGTCTTGTTTATTTATACAATCTAGGCCATCTAGTCTGGGACTCAGGATGGAGCCGTGGGGCAGCCTGCACACATGGGGAAGGTGTGGTGTGGGGTGCTAAGGTAGCCTGGGGAGCCAGTACAGCAGGAGGAGGGGAGGGGCCTCCAGGAGAACTCTGCTGAAGTGGCGCTTGAGTGGTGAGTTAGAGGAGGGGACGAAGAGACTGAGAGCGGGAAAACCAGTGTCACCACGTTCCTCTTATGGACAAATATGAAATAATTTGGTAAGAAGAACTTTTTACAAAAGTTAAATATAAGGAAGCTCCAAGGAAACATTAATTCCTTATAATTACAGAAGAGCTAACTATTGTTAATATTTTGGCATCTGAACTTCTAGTTTTTTGTATTTAACATATCACATGTGATAAAACGTAATTATGCATTCCATAGTTTTGTAACCTGTTTTGTGTCCCTTTAATATTTTGTGACTGTCTTTCTTATCACTATAGATGATTCTGTAGCTTCCTTTTTTGAGGGCTATTTGGTATTCCAGCAAATTGGTATATCACAATTTAGTTTAAGTAAAGACCTGTTGGAAAACTTTTACATTGTTTCTCATATTTTCATCACTGCAAACATTCTTAGAAGTAACTTTTTTTGTAAATCGGTGATGATTTTCTGATAATTGTCTGGAGATAGAAGTAGTAAAATAGAATGCTGGTTTTTACATTTTTTTTCTGTGAATTGCCAAATTAGCCACCAAAGAGTTGTGATAATTTGCTAAAATTCTGTAGAGCGTATTAGTTTTTTTAAAGAAGCAAGTGTTTGCAATTAGCTTTTTATTTTTATTTATTTATTTATTTTAAAGATTTTATTTATTTATTTGACAGACAAGTAGGCAGAGAGAGAGAGAGAGGAGGAGGCAGGCTCCCTGCTGAGCAGAGAGCCGGATTTGGGGCTTGATCCCAGGACCCTGGGATCATGACCTGAGCGGAAGGCATAGGCTTTAACCCACTGAGCCACCCAGGCGCCCCTGCAATTAGAGTTTTTAAAGGACACACCTGTTGATGTAACTCTGTAGTCTGTGAAGTAGTTACAGGGATTCAAATAACGTTAACGGATTTTAGTCAGATTCCGTCAGGGCTTAACATTTTTCCAATTCCACATGAACTGTGATGAGGACTTAGTTTTAATGTTTAGATGATATCAGTTATTGGGAAGTTGAAATCATGGTGATGAGGGAAGAAATGCCAAAATAGTTTCCTTTAACAATTCTACCAGATATCAGCATTTGGTTAAACCAGGCACTAAGAGGAGTCCGGGATCGCCATGGAAACTCAATAGAAAACGCCCATCTTCTCACTTTGTTTCATCGGCTCTGCAAACTCTTATTTTTTCGAATTCGTCCTATTTTTGTGTTTGATGGGGATGCTCCACTGTTGAAGAAACAAACCTTGGTAAGAATCATGTTTGTTTGTTTATTTTTCTTTCTGCATTATTAGAAGGAATGAAAACTTCATGTAGAATTTTAATTTTCTCTTTAGAATTTTGGAAGCCAAGACTTATTTTGACATATATCCAACTAAATTTCAACTTTTTTAAGGTTTATCTTGAACAGTCACACTTCTTCCTTTAAAAAAGGATTATTTGTGAGACTACGTCCTGGGTGCAATGATACAATTCAGCTTTTATTTTTATTTTTTTATTTTTAAAAAAGATTTTATTTATTTATTTGTCATAGAGAGAGAGAGAGCAAGCGAGCGCATGCACATAAGCAGGCAGAGTGGCAGGCAGAGGCGGAGAGAGAAGCAGGCTCCCTGCCAAGCAAGGAGCCCGATGCGGGACTCCATCCCAGGACCCTGGGATTGTGACCTGAGCCAAAGGCAGTGGCTTAACTGACTGAGCCACCCAGGCGTCGCGATACAATTCAGCTTTTAATAGAACTACTGAAATTTTCTCTCTCTTTCTCTCTCTAATAAATAAAATCTTAAAAAAAAGAAAAAAAAACCTACTAAAATTCTTAATATTCGGAGTTTTCCTTGTAGATGTCTTCTTAGGTGCCTATGTATGTTTCAGCCGTGCTGCTGAGCATGATAGCCTGTTGGGGAACATGCCTCCTTGAATCTGAGATCGTGGGTCTTCAGTGTTTAAAGAGTAATTGGATTTTATGTGGTGCTAGATGTGACTAACGTGGATTATTAAGGAAGGAAATTGGCCAGGATATAAAAGAGTAACATTGAATTTCTTTATTCTGAAAGTAGGTTAAAACAGTGTTGGAACAAAGTTGTGAACTTTGGAGTAATTGTGTCCCCCCTCCAAGCGACAGCACCCATTTGGTTGTAGGACTGTTACGTGTTGAAAATGCCAGCCCATCACTTCATAGTCACAGACATTGTCTAACTAAGTGAGGATGTAGGGTAAAAGTAAGGATCGGTAAATGCTTGGGGACATTTGTTCCCTCAGGAAAAGGTCTAGACTTGCCTGTTGCAGTTTTGAATTATTAAAGGCACATTCTACCAGGTACTCCTTGGAAGGAATAGACAGGAAAAAAGAACTCCAGAATTTATTTATCAACAAGGAAACAACATCTCCCCACTTCCCCAGCCCCACCTAAAAGGTGTTAGCTAACATGACTGTAGTAATCATTTTGTGATATGTAAATGTACCAAAGCAACACGTTGTCCACCTTAACATGTTGTACACAGTGTTATAGGTCAGTTATATCTTAATTTAAAAAAAAAAGGAAAAGAATGTTTTGTTATTTTTTCCTTATATTCCACCATCAGCATGGAGAGGGTTTGATTTTTTCCTACATGGACATTTCTTACAAGATACTTCTAATACATTTAAGAATTTCTTATGATATAATCTTAAATGTTGAGGGACATAGTGGCATGTAAGTAATGTATTCATTTATTTTTATTTTTATGGTTTGTGGGAGAGAGAGAGCTAGAGAAAGAGCAGGGGGAGGGGCAGAGGCAGAGGGAAAGAGATTTTCAAGCAGACTCCCCGCCAAGCATGGAGCCCGACATAGGGCTTGATCCCATGACCCATGAAATCATGACCTGAGCTGAAGTCAAGAATTGGATGCTTAACTGACTGAGCCACCCAGGTGCCCCAAGTAATGTACTTTTATAAAGACCAGTATCAGAAATTGGTTTTGGCACAGTAGTGACAATTTTAAAGAATACATTAATAATCCCTTTTAAGAAACATTTACTTAATTACATATTATTAAGTTATAGGCTTCCTGGGGACATGAAAGTCTATTTAAAAGAAACTGAAAGTAAATTAATAGTTTGTCAAATACTGTCCTAGCCCGTCCATTTAGTAGTAGGTAGATGGAGACTCCATGTTCTTTACATAGCAGAAACCTGCACATACCCACTGATATGACAGTTGGGAGGAAATACTAAAGCAGTCGTAGCCTGAAAACTCAGCCAAACCAAATGCTATGGAAAAAAGTCACAGAAATGTTTTTAATATACTAATACCCTGAAACAATCCTGTGTCCTTTGTTTTCACAGGCTAAGAGAAGGCACAGAAAGGATTTGGCAGCCACTGACTCCAGAAAAACTACAGAGAAGCTTTTGAAAACATTTTTGAAAAGACAGGCTATCAAAACTGCCTTAAAAAGCAAAAGGCAAGAGGCAAATTCCATTAAATTTAAAGATTAAACGCTTTTAACTTTTGCCTTGGGTTCTCGTGGTTCCCTTTCCCTGATTTTAACTCGGCAAAAAACACAGTGAAATCAGAGGGGTAAGTGGGCTGTCCATTTGACCCAGTTCTTGGAAGTTGTGCAAATTCCCTGTTCGGTGAGAGTCAGCTTAGATACGGAGCGAGAAAAGCCGTAGTGTTATGTTGCCCACACTTTGTACTTTTCTAAGGTGGATCTCCCGGCCTGCAGTGAGGCCCTGGCTGAGGTGCGGGGAGCCGCAGTGAGCTTCCTGTTTCTCTCGAGGCCTCGCTGGCTTCCCACAGCAGCGGCCTGGGCAGCCGGGGCAGCAGGGAGAAACCTGTTACAGCCCTGTGTTTTTCCCCTTCTCACCCCCTCAGCAGGGCTTGTGTAATGAGTGGGGGAGTCTTCCTCACTCAGCGTCCTGTTTGCCATCACCTCTGCTTACCTCTGTGTGTGCTTTTCAGAGGTGAAGCGCTCCCCAGTCTTACTCAAGTTCAAAGAGAAGATGACATCTATGTTTTGCCACCTTTACAAAAGGAAGAAAAAAACAGGTAAACGTTTAACTATTTAAAAATAGTAATTGTCTGTGTTTGCAGACAGATTCAGACCTATGTGTTTTTAGCTACATGATAAGGCATGTGGGAATTAATGCATCTGCAAATGTATTCTCGACACCTTTTAGAGTGTTTTTCAAACACTAAATTGTTTTGTAACTCACTTGTCCTTGTGTTTTGGTAGTTTGTGCTCCTTTGTCTCTTCATTCTGCAGACCCTGCGGTAGCACCATTCGTGTATGATTCCTGAAGCTAATGGATTTTCACGTTCCACCCGTTGCTTACACATGCTATCTCTGCCTGTTTCTTAGCCTGTGTCTTCTGTCTCTCACCAGCACATGGCGAGACCACACACAACTTCCTCCTTGCTAAATCCAGGAGACACTTTGCAGACGTCAGTTTACTGTACTTTTTAGCTGCACGTGACTCAGCACCTGCGTTATCCTGCTGTCTGGCTGTCTGGGAACCTCTCTGGCTGCTCTTTCTCAGGCTCCTCTGTGGACTCTTCTCTAGTTCGCTGTTCACTCTCAGCTGCTTCTGTGGCTGAAATGCAGGCAGGGGGCCTGGCAATGTGTCTGTGCCCCCACTTGCCCACATTCCTTTCCCAGGGGCTCCTGAGACACCAAGTGGCTTCTGAATCAGGCCAGTTCTGCTTCTTTTCATTGCTACCTTGAAGTACCATAAAGGCTTTCACACTTCTTTCTTTGTCTTTGTCTTTGCTTTTCCCCTTTTGCTGGAACTCCTACTCACAAAGTTCAGTCTCTGCTTTGTGGTGTAGAATCTGCTAAAACCCAAACCTGATAATGTCATTTCAGAGCCTGAAACACTTCCTAGCTTCTTACTTCTTTAGGATAAAATTTTAGCCCCTTAATCACATGCTTCTCCAACCTTACCAGGCCCTCTTTATGTCATTATCAGGCCCTTTTTATGCCATCTCCAGGCAGGCTTTCTTTCTCTTGTTTCCAGATGTTTATAGAACACAGTTTCTGCTTGGAACACTTGTCTCCATGAACTTTCCTCAGACCCTACAACTAGACCTCTCTCTTATTTGCAGCTAAGTCCAAGCAGTGCAATTGCCAGAGATTCCAAGAAACTTTATGGACCTCCCCCTGCACCCCGATTAGAAAGGGGTGACTCCCCTTACTGCACTTTTAGCATTCTGATCCTCCCTTGTGATGGATGTCATCAGATCATATTGTAATCGCTCCCTGGCACGCGTCCCCTCCCAACTGTGGGAATAATGACGGTGTGTTTCATAACATTTGATTCACCATTGTAGCCCCTAAAACTAGTGGCCCCTTGCCTCCAGAGATACTTTTATAAGTTGTCATTAAGTCATAGATACTGTAAATATATGCTTGACTTTCAGTTCAGAAGAAGAAGATGAAAGAGAATGGCAAGAAAGAATGAGTCAAAAACAGGCATTACAGGTACTTAACGTAATTTTTGAATTCAGAGTATATTGTTATTTGAAATGAACAACATGAAAATGAATAAATGTGTTATGAAGTTCCTGGTAAAAAACAGACACACACCTTCTTTATTGTGCTGTGTGTATATGTGTGTGCATGTGTATATATGTACAAATACCCAGGGACCCATACACATTTGTATGGCATTTGCCTTTGTGCATGTCTAGATATCCAAAACAAGCCATCTTTCTTTTACAACCAACCAACTAAACAAACAATAAGTAAGTATAAATAGTAATATGTACTTCTATAAAAATGCAGAAAACGTACCACCTATAAATAACTTCAAGTAACATTTTCATATGTATTAGCCCATTCTCCCCCCACCCCTTATGGTTGAATATCCATGTGTGTATTTTATTACATGTATGCATGTCAGGTGCACACGTATGCATGTATATGTAAATGTATGTCTGTGCTTCTGTTCCAGTTATCCATTGCTGTGTCACGTGGTGGCATGAAAATGGTTGTTATCATCCCCTCACTGTTCTGGGGATTGTTGGGCTCAGTGAGGCAGTCCTCTCTGCACGGCTCCCTTGTAAATGCAGGCCGATTGTAGCTGGGGCTGGAGTCCCCTCCAAGGCTTCCTTACTCCCATGTCTGGTGGTTGACACTGGTTGTCAGAACACCTGCCTGTGGCTTCTCCGTGTGGCTTGGGCTCACTCACGGCATGGTATTGCGTTCCATGGACAGGCATCCTGAGAGCAGGTGCCGGGCGGGACCCTGTAGTCTTTTCTAGCCAGCTTCGGATGTAGCACAGCCCCCCTTCCTATGCATTCTGTCTATGAGAAGCTGGTCAGTGAGCCCAGCCCTTAATTAAGGGGGGGAGGGATTAGATGGAAAGAGGTGTCAGAGAACCTGTGGTCCTAAAACAACCACCACACATATTTTAATGAATGACATTTGTACAAATTGAGGTGGTACTGTAATATACAAGTTTTTAGAGTTTTTTTCAAGTTTTTTGAATAGTGGATGATATTCTTTGATTCCCAAGTTAACTGGTTTTTTTATGTTCCTAATTTGGTGCATCTGGAGAAAGACTTGAGCTCCAACCTCAAGATCCTTCAACTTGTAGAGGTTCTGCATTATTAATTCAGGAAATGACAGCAATCATGGTAAAGACTGTGAACATGGTAAAGACTATGAACATTTTGGTCAGAAAGACCTGCATTTAAGTACAGGCTCTCCTGTGCACTAGCCATGTGATCTTAGACAAATTAACTTCTCCAAGGCTTTATTTCCCATCCCTACCTCCTTTTTTTGTGAAACAAAAATCATAATGATGCCTTCCTCAGAGGGCTGTTGGAACATTAAGGTGTTCCCTTCGTATAGGGAAAGCACGGGGTGTTCTGAGCATGACTGGCCTATCCTAAGTGCTGGCGGGTTTGCCCATATACATACAACATACCTACCTACAGGAAAGCAAATTGTATTACTAATGAAGAGTTTTAAAGTACTTTCAGTAATTAGTTAAAGTTTAGAAAAGGTTTATCCTCTTTTTTTTTTTTAAGATTTTATTTATTTGACAGACAGAGATCACAAGTAGGCAGAAAGGCAGGCAGAGAGAGAGGGGGAAGCAGGCTCCCTGCTGAGCAGAGAACCCGATTCGGGGCTTGATCCCAGGACCCCGGGGTCATGACCTGAGCCTAAGACAGAGGCTTTAACCCACTGAGCCACCCAGGTGCCCATTTATCCTTTTTCATGCCTGTGAATTTCTCACTTGTCTTCACTTTTGATTATAGGTTAAGAGTAAAACAAAACTCATTACGAGAATTACAGATATTTTTCAGATTCCTAAGGCTCATCCCTACCTTAGGGCTCTGGTACTTGCTGTTCCTGCAGCCTGGGATGCCGTGATCAGTCTCGCTGGTGTCTTTCGTCTCTGCTCACCGTCATTTTTTATTCTTATCAGATTAACCTGCTTTATTTTCTTGTTCATTTGTTTATTTATTTGGTTATTCTATGTCTTACTCTACCCCTAAGAGTAGGGACTTGATCTGGCACGATATCCTAGCACCTAGAACAGTGCCTGGCACATTAGGGGTGTCTGATAGGTGTTTTTTCTTTTGAGTGAGTCAGTGAATGGATGGCTATATTCCCTAATCTGCCTGTTCACTGATACCTGTTGCAGATTATGTACAACTGGGTTTATTCTGTTGTAGATTTTGTAGAACTATCATAAGTTCAATAAACTTACATCAGCAGTAAATATCAGGGTAAATAGAGTAAGTGTACACAATGTAAATTTCATGGTTACGTTTTTACTCTTTGCAGGAAGAGTTCTTTCATAATCCTCATGCCATAGATATTGAGTCTGAAGACTTCAGCAGCCTGCCTCTTGAAATAAAGCACGAAATCTTGACTGACATGAAAGAATTTACCAAGCGAAGACGAACCTTATTTGAAGCAATGCCAGAGGTGAAATATACAACAGCACATTAATGCTTAGAATGCGCTCATGCTTAGAGCTTCAGCAAAATTTTTTACTAGAAAAAAGGAAATCAATAAGTATTACTTACATGGTCTCTGTTTTGAGTAAATGTCATTTGTGTCTCAGAGATCCTGTGAAGCATCATATATTTGTAAGTTTGAACTTACACATGTTTCTTCAAAGAAGCCTTTTGACTTTCATTTGAGACCAGGTCTTGGGTTGCCTGGGTGGTTCATTCAGTTAAGGTTCTGACTCTTGATTTTAGCTCCGGTCATGATCTTGGGGTCATGGGATTGAGCCCCTGCTTCGGGCTCCATGCTTAGCGTGGAGTCTGCTTGAGATTCTTTCTCTCCCTCTCACTCTTCCCTTGTGTGTGTCTCTCTCTCTTTCCGAAATAAATAAGTCTTAAAAAAAAAAAATAAAAAACACTATAATAAAAAAACTCCTGTGTTCTCCTAACACCCTGAAATGTCTATGGTTCTTAGCATCCAGATGTGCCTGTTTTTCTCACTTCTGTATTTTCAGCACCTAGTTCAGTATCTTTCACATAGTAAGTGCTCAGTGTGTGCTTAGGAGTTCAATTCTTAGGTTAGTTCATGAAAGTTTTTTTAACCCATAATATACCTTGTCTGAAGATTACTAATAGTAATATAGAGTCTAATCTAACTTAAAATTCCAGGTGTCTCTTTTTTGGGTGCAGACCTAGAAATGCAGTTGGACCATCACCTTCCCTCTTCCTCTTTCTAGACAGTGGCCATAGGGAATTGAGTGGTAAATTCTTCAACTTGGAGCATCTGCTGTTGGCTCTACAGCCACAGAAACTTGGAGCAGGTGGTGTGCAGAGTTGGGGTCAGGCCTTGTCTCCTGATCATGCTATACCATTAATTACTACTACTTTTAGTAGGCGAATGAGCTTTGTTTTCCTTTCTATTGCTACCACCTATTCTCACGCCATTCTCTGATTCACTGTAGGACAGAATATATGTTTTGCAGTAACATTGTTCCTAATGAATGGATGTAGTGGTTTTTTCCTACAAACTTTTGAACGTTTCCTAAATTGATACCAAAATATGAAAAAGGCAGACAGGTCCTATTTCTTTCCCTATCAGTCCTTTGTTTTTCCACGAACAATGTGTGAATATAGGAAAATGCTAAGGTGCACAGAAGTGATATAGGAAGGACAGAGGTAAATTCATTTTCATTTCAGGGGAAAAAATCCAGGTTTAGTATGTATATCAGGCACTTTATTTCTTGAGTATGAAAGGCTCTCTGGCTGGCCTTTGAGGAAGTAGAATTTGGGTTATGTAAACAACATTGGGAAGGCATGGGAAGAAGGGAGATGGTCCCTAATGATTTGCTGCCTTTTCTCTCCCCATCACCATGGAGCTTGGGATCGGTAGATGGTAAGGAAGAGGGTAGTGTGGCTTAGCAGCCCATGGAACCTATAATTCTGATAGGGAAGGCAATGTCTGAGTCATTCATGTTGGACCTTTGTATCATCGTACACTGGGCAAATCAATATTGAGAATAGTAATGATGGTAAGTAATAACTTATAGCAATAGAAGCAGTGTAGGATTGGCAACCTGTTTTTGATTCCACATCTACTACTTACTAGCCTTGTAACTCTAGGGAGGTTAGTTAACTTGTTTTCTCAGCTTCTTCATTTGTAGACTGGAAATAATGACATATGTCTCATGGGGTGGTTGAAATGAAATGGGATAATACACATAAAAGCTCCTAGAAGAATGCCTTCATTGCAAATGCTTTATAAATGTTAATGATTATCATTAATAATTGTGATTGCTATGAATTATTAGGTGTCTTTATGGGTCAAGGACTGTGCTAGGCACTTTATTTGGATATATTTTTCTTAAGATTTATTTATTTATTAGAGAGTGCATGTGGGAGAGCATGAGCAGGGGGAAGGGGCAGAGGGAGAGAATCCTCCAGCAGACTACCCGCCCCGAGTGTGGAGCTTGTCTAGATTTCACAACCCATGAAATCATGACTGGAGCTGAAACCAAGAATTGGACACTCAACCAGCTGGACCACCAGGCGCCCCACTTTACTTGCATATTTACTTGCATTCCAGAAGGTTGTCTGTTTATTAAGCTATAATCAAAATGTCACAGTGCTGGTATGCATTACTGCCTAATAAATGTTTTTTGAGTAAATGATAAGTCACAAACATTATCCATGATTTCTTTTGCCTAAGTCTTTTTGTTTTAAAGGTTATTTTTTAATAAGGCAGCTACAGTTTTTTCCTAGTTTCAGATTTTACTGTTATAATATGAAAACGTCTCCAGTGGAAAAAAAATCAGTTGCTTTTGTTCCTTCATCCTTTGGGAATGTTATCTATGTGGGAATATTATCTGTATTTAATACAAAAAAATAATTTCATTTATTTTATTTTAGGAGTCTAATGACTTTTCACAATATCAGCTCAAAGGCTTGCTTAAAAAAAACTACCTAAACCAACACATAGAAAATGTCCAAAAGGAAATGAATCAGCAACAGTCAGGACAAATCCAAAGGCAATATGAAGAGGAAGGGGGCTTTTTGAAGGAGGTAGAGTCAAGGAGAGTAGTCTCTGAAGATACTTCACATTACATCTTAATAAGAGGTATTTAGTACCATCACTTACCTAATGGTTAAAAACCAAAAATAGGTTGTGTCTCTGAATTCTAGGAGCTATCACCCTACTTATGTAATAATAAAGCTATATATATAGCTATTAATGGGTTACCTGCTGTTGTACCAACCCTCTTTGTTTTTATTATTTATTTAAAATTTATTTATTTACTCCCAGTATAATTAACATATAGTGTTATATATGAGTTTCAAGTTTACAATATAATGATTCAACAATTCTGTACATTACTCAGTGCTCATGTACAAACCTACTTTAAAATTAAATAACAAATTAACTCTTAGTGCCGTTTAAAGGAAAATTTATAACTTCCTGCATGAGAACCAGTGTTCTTTTATTCATCTTATTAGAAGTATGTTGTTTCACTGTAAAACTACATAATGAGAAATGTTTTAATTTTTCTTAAGGTATTCAAGCTAAGAAAGTTGCAGAGGTGGGTTCAGAGTCTCTTCCTTCTTCCAGCAAAATGCGCAGCTGGTTGTCTGACGTGAAGTCATCTCCATGTGAGGCACTGAAGCCAGAGAAGGAGCCTGCCGCTACCCCTCCTTCTCCAAGAACTTCCCTGGCTATGCAGGCTGCCATGCTGGGAAGCAGCTCAGAAGAGGAGCAGGAGAGTGAGAATCAAAAGCAGTCTGATGTGAAGAATGCACCTGTGTCCCCGCTTACTCTCTTAGCTATTCAGAAGGTTCTCGACGATGATGAAGACATGGAAGCACATGCTGGAAATGACGTGCAGATAGGAGGGTCAGCAGTGAAAACGCTGCTTGGGAACAGTTGCCACGAAGAAGCTGTTGAAGGCCTTAAAGAAGGAGGTGGAGAAGGAATGCTGTTGCCAGCAGGACCCCATCTGACCCATGTGAACTCTGCTCATGAAACCAGCCCTGACACCAGCAGGAGGCTGGCAGACTCAGCTCATTTGTCCCTTCCCGTCTTCTGTCCAGGCAGTGAATCTAGTGTTCCAAAAGAAGAAATGTCACTTATTCGTGTGGTGAGTGAAGCCTTTCAGAAAAGCTGTGAGTCTACCGTTAAGGGGAGAAAAGACCCCATTCCTTCAGAAAGCACAGTGGTGATGCACAGCGATGCACCTGGGCTCCAGAGTGGGAGAGAACTGACACCAGTACCTTCGATGCGTTCAAGTTCTGTATCAAGGAATGAAACATACACCAAAGAGCCTGAGCTACAACCAGACCTTTGTCCATCAGGTGGCAAATATGATTCCTCTGTTCTTTCAACTGATGATGAAACAGAAGGTGAAAAAAATCATGTTTCTGAAATCATTGACACTGTCAGTTTGCAAGAAATGAGTAATACACAAAGTATCCCTTCAGAGATAATAAGTAACTTGGAAAATGCAGTATCCTTTAATTCTAAAGAGAATGAGAATTTCCTGAAAACCATCCAAGAACATGAGACAATGGACTCTGTAGACCAGGACTTAATTTCAGTTCCAAAGTCCATGGAGCCAATGGAAATAGACTCTGAAGAAAGTGAATCTGATGGTAGGTGCTTGTGCTCTTCCAGAGATACAGAACTTCCTGTAGAGTTTCACATCTCCAGGAACGGAGATCCTGCAGTGTAGTCTAGTTCCCGCTTTGTTCAGATGATGAACTAGGAGCCCAGAAAGGTGAAATGACTCTCCCAAGGGCACACAGCTGGTTCTTTGTTGTTTTTTTTAAAGGGGGGAGTATCAGTTGGAAAAGGTAAAAGTGAGTCTTCTAGTTTTTTTAACTTTTTGTTTTGAAATAATTACAAATTATTTAATAAAGTTGAAAGAATATTACAGAACATTCTGGTTCCTTCACCCAGTACCTCAATGGCTAGCATTTTACCATGTTTTCTTTATCATAGCTCTTTATACATATTTATATACATGTACATGTTTACTGTATATTTACATCTATACAGACTTTTTTTTTCTTTTTAAAGATTCTATTTATTTATTTGGCAGACAGAGATCACAAGTAGGCAGAGAGGCAGGCAGAGAGAGAGAGGAGAAAACAGGCTCCTCTCAGAGCAGGGAGCCTGATGTGGGGCTCAATCCCAGGACCCTGGGATCATGTCCTGAGCTGAAGGCAGAGGCTTTAACCCACTGAGCCACTCAGGCACCCCACTATACAGACTTCTATATAGTCAATTCAGAGAATTATTCAGATTCTCATTATTCAGATTATTCTTATTTGTGATATTGCCTACTTATTGAAATTTATTTATAACCCCAGAATCAATACTCAGAAGTAATATCTTTGTGGTCATTCATGGACCTGAGTAAAGTGGCTAGAAGCTTGAATTGCCAGTACTGCTCCCAGCTAAGGTTGAGCAAGGTGTCACTCTGCCTTGTGTTTTAGCTATCCCACTGAGGTGACCAGAAGGTGAATATGGGAGAGAGCAGTGCGGTCTAGATCAAGAAACTCTGGCTTGGGTTAATTGGATGGGGTTTGAATCCCAATTCTGTTACCTGTTGGTTGGTGGGGCAGCCTCAGGCAAGTCTCTTTAACACTCCCAAATCTCATTTTTTCCTTTATAAAATAAAGAAGTTAGAATTTACCAGGATGAGTTGTTTGTAGGATTTATGATTATGAATATATTTATTCTATGAACAAGGACGTATATGTGGATTCATTGTTCACAATGACTTTATAGAACACACTGCTGTGAATAACAAGAATTGCTTGTACACACACACAAGCTAACTTTTTTCCTGATGTCTGCTGAGTTTCTTCATTCTAAAGTTGCCATTTCCTCTTTGTAATTAGTATTTTATGGAAAGGCTGTGTAAATATGTTGTTCCTGAGCAAACCTTTGTCCACTTATTTTAGCATTCATTGATGATTTTTACCTAAATAAATGATCACTATGGTGGTTGCCAAATGGCAGTTTTCTAGTTCCATTATTCCTTATATATTTTTCAGTTTACATCTTCTTATAAGAAGTTCTTCCCCTCTTCCCTGTTTACTACTTTTTTATATCATGTGGATTCAAGAATTCGTATTTTATTTAGTGATTTATGATGCTTTTGTACTTTATGGTTGGAATTGTCCTGGCTTTGGTCAGTGGGGGCCCCTCTTCAGGCTGGCTTCTGGGACTTGACAATTCCCCCTTATATGTTGAGCATTTCTTTACTTTCTGGTCAAGATGTTCCAGATTTATCTTATTCTTGCCCTGCCCTGCCCTGTCCCTGGATCCAGCTCTAGTTCCCTGCAATAGAGCATGATGTTTAGAAACCAAGATCTGGTCCCTGAGTGTGCTCACTGGTACTGGGGTGTCATTGCTTCAGGCCCTCGCAGGGACAGAGCCAGGAAGTATATTTATGTATATACCCACAAACATGTGCACACACCCACCTGTATTTACTTCTCTACAAATACATATTTATGTATAAATGTTCCATATATAAAAATCTATTGAGTTTGTACTGATACTGATTCCAATCCAACATCACAGATTTCCTTTTAGCCTCCACTTTTGTTACAATTTTCCTTCCTAACACTGAGAAACCTTACTACCATTGTCCTAATATATTGACTTATTACTTATTCTTTCTTAATTTGTAACCATCTCCTGGTCCCATTGGTGTTCTCCTTGGTCCTGGCTATCTCCTTGGCCCCAGTCCCCACTCAGATCTCCAGCCCACTCTGTCCTGATTGTATCCTGAAATTCATGCTCCTCCACCTGAAGCAAAAGAAGGGAATCAGGGGCGCCTGGGTGGCTTAGTGGGTTAAAGCCTCTGCCTTTGGCTCAGGTCATGATCCCAGGGTCCTGGGATCGAGCCCCACATTGGGCTCTCTGCTCTGCAGGGAGCCTGCTTCCTCCTCTCTCTCTTCCTGCCTCTCTGCCTACTTGTGATCTCTGTCTGTCAAATAAATAAAATCTTTAAAAAAAAAAAAAAGGGAATCAATTTTTTTTTTTTAAAGACAAGACAAGACACAGGAGAGGAGGGAAGGAAGGTGGAAAAGAAGAGCTATTTCTCCTGAGTACTTATTCAGATCCTTTACACTAATTCACCGCTTTATTCTTTGCTATGTTCATAGTAAAATAGCATAAGAACATAGAACAACCTACATGACTGTTTACATCCTCTGATAATTCTCCTTTTTGAACTCTGAAACAATATTAGTTAACTTGTATTTGTATAAAGCTTTTATGCAGATCTTTGAAAGCTTGCTTCCTAACTTTAAAGGTAGTGCCAGTTTAATGGAAAAGTCTTGAAGTTACAGGCATTTATATTAAATTTATTTAATAGTAATGTTTTACCCTTCCATGTTTTCTAGTAAATTCAGATCTTTTGGGGGTCAAACACTTTTCAGGGTACTTTGGAATGCTCTCAGTGATTTGGGGATAATTTTAATGTTTCACTTATAAACAAAGTGACCTTGTTATTTTGGTACAGGAAGTTTCATCGAAGTACAGAGTATAATTAGTAATGATGAACTTCAAGCTGAATTACATGAAGCTTCTAAATCTCCCTCCACACAAGATGAAGAAGAACTGATAGGAACTAAGAAGGAAGAAGCCACTGGTGACTCTGAGGGCCTCCTAAGACACAGCTCTGGAAGAGAGGCTTTGGATGTGGAGCCACATGAAGAAGCTGAAAAAGACACAGACAGTTCACTCAATGAATGGCAAGATATTAATTTGGTAACAATATGAGATCAAGTCTTAACCTACTGCTAAAAAAGAGCCGAGTTAGATAGCTTTTGAGCTTTAAGGAGTTACTGGTTGAACATTTATTAGCTTTTTGCATGCTTTTTTTTTCCTTAACTATTTTTTCATCATTATGGGGATTGGGAAGTCTACGATCAAGGTGCAGGCTCATTTGATTCCTGTGAGAGCTCTCTGGTTTGCAGATGGCTGCCTTCCTGCCGCCCTCAGGTGCTGGGGAGGGGGAGAGGGTAGGATGGGAAGGAAGGAGATATCTTTCTTTCATAAGTCTACAGTCCTTTTAGATTAGGGCTCCATCCTTATGACCTCATTTAACCTTAATTACTTCCTAAAGACACCATCTCCAGATGCAATCACATTTGGGGTTAGGGTTTTAACATAGAAATTTTGGGGGAACTCAATTCAATCCACAGAAAGAACCACATACAATACCACCTAAAAGCATAAAATACTTATATGTAGGGCTTACGACATATGTGAAAGATTTGTATTTCAAAACTATAAAACACTTGATGCTAGAAATCAGGGAGGACCTAAATAGATGTGGTTTTGGGTGGGAAGATACAGTATTAAGATATCAATTCTCCCCACACTGATCCATAGATTCATGGAATTCCAATAAAAAACCAATGATAGATATTAACAAGCTGATTCTAAAATTTACATGGAAAAGCAAGGAAGCTAGAGTAGTCATAACAAATTTGAAAAAGAAAAAATTTAGAGAACTTATACTACCTGATATTGAGATTTACTATAAAGATAACAGTAATTAGGAGAGTATGATATTGACTAAAGGATGGATACATAGATCACTAGAACAAAATAAGAGTCCTGCAGCAGAAGCAAACAACAGTAATCAAGACAGTTTGCTCTTGGCATAAAGATAGACAAATAGATCAATAGAACATAATAGAAAGTACAGAAATGGATCCATGCATATATGGTGAACAAATTTTCAACAATGCTAGAAAGGCAGTTGAATGGAGGAAGGAGAGTCTTTGCCGTGGTGCTAGGAAAAAAAGGCAACTTTGGTGCTGTGTATGATACACCAAAATCAACTCAAAACACATTACATACTGTAGTTTTACGTTAATTCTTGAAACAAGACAAAAGGAGTGTGAATCTTCCAACTTTGTTTTTCTCAAAGTTGTTTCACTTTTATAAATCCTCTGCATTTCCACATGAATTAATTAAGAATTAAATCTTAGCAACACTGTATCTTCTGATCCTCTAACACAGGATATGTCCTGATTTATCCAGATCTTTTAAAATTTTCTCAGTGTTTTGCAGTTTTCAGTGTACAAATCTTACACATCCTTTGTCAGATTTATCTCCAAGTATTTAATATTTTTAAGACTATAGAAATTGACATTTTATTTTTTACAATTCATAGCTTTTAGTGTAATTCACAGAGTCATACAACTATCACAATCTTAGAACATTTCCATCACCTGAAAAAGAAGCCCGGTACCCATTAGCAGTCACTCCCTGTACCTTCCTCTCCACCTCTTCGACGACTCATCTTCTTTCTGTTTCTATGGATTTGTCTTTTCCGGACATTTCATATAAATGGAATAATACAACCTGTGGCCTTTTTTTCTGGCTCCTTCACTTAGAATGTTTTCAAGTCCATCCATGTTGTAGCATGTGTTAGTCCTTTATTTCTTTTTATTGCCAAATAGTATTCCATTGTATGGATAGGTACCATATTTGATTCAGTCATCATTTAATGGACATTTGGGTTGTTTATACTTTCTGGCTATTACGAATAATGTTGCTATTAACATCTATGTACAAGTTTTTGTGGGATGGACATATATCTTCATTTCTCTTTGGTATACACCTAGGAATAGAATTACTGGGTTACAGGTAGCTGTGTTTAACCTTTTGAGTCCCTGTCAGACTGTTTTCCAAAGTGGCTGCACCATTTCCACCAATAGTATATAAGGGTTCCAATTTTTCACATTCTCATCAACACTTATTTGTATCTGTCCTTTTGATTCTAGTTGCTCTAGTGGGTGGGAAGTGGTATCTCACTCTTTTTTTGTGTGTTTTTTTTTTTTTTTTAAGATTTTATTTATTTGAGAGAGAGTGAGTGAGAGAAAGCATAAGCAGGAGGAGCAGCTGGCAGAGGGAGAAGCAGGCTGCCTGCTGAGCAGGGAGCCCAGCCCCCATGACTCTGGGATCATGACCTGAGCTGAAGGCAGATGATGCTTAATGGACTGAGCCACTCAGGTGTCCCTCACTCTGTGTTTTCTTAAATTCAATTTGTTTAAACTAAAACATGGGTGATTTTGTGAGGGAACTTTGAAGATATTAAAGACTTGCTCAGAAATCCAAGTGGGAAATTTCATAAGGAGGAACGCTTATTTGGTAATTGAGTCAGACTAAATGCAGGCTTTTTGTAACAAATGAGTTCAACTGGATCATTAATATAATGATCTACAGATGAAATTTATTTTGCAGGAGGAGCTGGAAACTCTGGAAAGCAGCCTGTTAACACAGCAGAATTCGCTGGAAGCACAAAAACAGCAGCAAGAACGGATTGCTGCTACTGTGACGGGGCAGATGTTCCTGGAAAGCCAGGTAGGTGTACCAGCCAGGCCTCCTTTTGCAATTCCCACTGCTGGTTTTACTTAATCTGATTCCCTAACGGCATGTCTTCAGTGAAATGTGTGCAACACTGCTCCCATTTCTGGTCAAGGCCCATTTCCCACATTTCACGGGGGTCACAGCGTGTCTCTTACTCTCCAGGAACTTCTTCGCCTGTTTGGCATTCCCTACATCGAAGCTCCCATGGAAGCAGAGGCACAGTGCGCCATCCTGGATCTGACCGATCAGACTTCTGGAACAATCACTGATGATAGTGATATTTGGCTGTTTGGAGCACGGCATGTCTATAAAAACTTTTTTAATAAAAACAAGTTTGTAGAGTATTACCAGTATGTGGACTTTCACAACCAACTGGGTAAGACTTCAGAGTATGATTACTTTATGAGATTTACCTTTAGAATTTGTATTATGAATTTTTTCCTTTCCAAGGAACTCATTTGATGTATTAATTGGGAAATGGTAGGTCTCTACCGTTCTCATGTAAGTGATCTTTTGTTTCTAGAGAGGAATAGGATTTTTAAATTAGAATTAAGAAATTAAAACCCTAGAAATATGTAGGGGTTTCCTGCAGAATTAATTACCTGACCTGCTTAGACTTTGACCAGTTATCCTAGATCTCTGGAGTAAACCAAAGGTGGTGGAGAGAGGAGGCAGGTGGAGTCAGTCCTGCTGGAGTCACGAGCTCCATGGCCCCATGGTGGTGTTTCTGGCAGTGATTCTTTTTTTTCCCATTCATCTAACAAATACATATCGTGTGATTCCTGTATGCCAGTTCTCGTTCTTGGCAGTGGGGAAATGGGAGAATACAAGTCTTGTAGGAAAAGGAAATAATAAACATAATCCATGTAGAAAAAAAGCTGGAAAACAGGAGAGGGTGACCTGCAGTCACAGAAAGTGTGTGTGCTGTTGTATATGGAGCTGTGGTCAGGAAAGTCTTTACTAATAGGTTATTTTTGGGCTAGGGCCTAAGGAAAAGAGGTAATGAGTGTTGTACATACCCTAGGGATGAGCATGTCAGACAAAGGGCCTGGAGAGTGTAAAGGCCCAGAGGCAAAATTTTGCTTGGTGTGTTCTAATAAAAATTTAAAAAATATAAAATGTTTTTACTTTTCTAGGATTAGACCGAAACAAATTAATAAATTTGGCCTATTTGCTTGGAAGTGATTATACAGAAGGAATACCAACTGTAGGTTGTGTTACAGCCATGGAAATTCTCAATGAATTCCCTGGACCTGGCCTGGAACCTCTGCTTAAATTCTCGTAAGTTCTTTCTTCATTTCTTTAACTCAGGTGTTTATGTAAATACCCAATTTAGGGTGCCTGGGTGGCACAGTCAGTTAAGTGTCTTACTTTTGGTTTTGGCTCAGGTCATGGTCTTGGGGTTGTGCGATTAAGTCCACATTGGGCTTCGTGCTTAGTGCTCAGCATGAGGGTCTGCTTGGAATTCTCTTCTCCCTCTGCTCCTCTCCCTGGAACCGGCAGGCACACTCTATTGCTCTCTCTCTCTTTCTAGTAAATAAATAAATCTTTAAAAAAAATACCCAGTTTAAAACAGAACTATTACTTGCATCATGAACTGTCACAAATCACCAGAATTGATAGGGTTACCAAATTTGTTTTCCCTCTTCTAGACTTCAGTGAAATCAGAGACAATTTTTTTTAGAGGCACTAGGCTTATCCTAGTTCAAGGGTACATAGACTGGTCTGTGGGATTTCATAGGCAAGTGGAAATCTCATTTCATTCATTCAGAGATTGAGTGAGTAACTGCTATGTGTCAGACGCCCTGCTAGGCTGGGGTAGGAAAGTTGACTAAGCCGTAGGCTGCATTCTCAAGGAGCTCCACGCTCGTGGGGAGCCAGAGAAGCAAACACATCCCTGTACTTCCATGTGTTGAGGGGCTGAAAGAGGGGCCAGAAGGGGCATGGAAATAGAATGTTAAGAACTTTACCTTGTGTCCTGCTGTCCCTTTGTTGCTGCATGTACTCGGATGTGTTTAGTGCTGGTGCATCCCACCCGAGCCCACCATTCCGCTGCCCTTGGGGTGCACTTCAGTTAGGAAGGTTCTGGGACAGTGGTATTCACGAGGATGTCTATGGAAGGAGTTCTGTCTTAAGGTTTGTCCTCCATGGCATTTTAAAAAATTGGAATGTAAGTCACCTACCATAAATTTCACAGTTCAGAGGTTTTTAGGCTACTCACAAGGTTTTGATGGTACTTTCTAACCACCAACTTGTCATGAGATACTAGTTGATAGGAGTTGATTTAATGATTCTTTGAAGTTCTTTCCAGTTGTATCTCCTGTGTCTGGAAAATTCTCAGATGTTCTGGTATAAGAATCAGTTACTACAATTAAAACTTAAATGCAGAAGTGGTCTTAATGTTTGCTCTTCTCCAGCTGTAGCACACATACCAATATATTTATTTTATGTTTTCTTTCTCTCTTTCCTCATAATTTTCATAGTATTGAGGAAATAATACAGTGGCAGTAAGTTATTGGGTAGCTCGTAGGTCATGGTATTTAAATAACTTGAAAAGCTACAAATAACTTTATTGTATAAATAATAATAGAAAAATTATGAAATATGAATTAAAAAGATGGTTACAGTTAACATTTTGGTTTATATAATTTTAGACTTTTCTATGTATAGTGTACGCTTATATTATATTAAACATATATATGTATACGTCTTTACTTATGCAAGTGTGTATTGTTTCTTTTTTTAAGAATGGGATGATGCCATATACTTTTTATGTTACCTGTAACTCATGTGGTGATAGAACAAGGCATACTACCAACAATGTATAGATGAGTAACAGTTTTGAATGACTCCATAGTAGTCTTTTGATGTATCATGATTAGTCATATGCCTATTGTTATTTCTGTTTTTTAAGTCTGAACAAACATGATTTGAGTGTCTTCAGAGACGTATCTTTGGGTTCTTATCTGATTATTGTTTTAGGATAAATGTATTTAGATTTTCAATTTGATGTCCTAAATTTTCTTGTTTGTTGAAAATTTGCATTTCTGGTAGAGTGAATGCCTACTTATGCCCTATTTCTTTTCTCTCAACAGTTGTTGCTCATTTGTTGTTAGTTGAGTGGTTTACATTTTAGCCGTTTCTGCTCTGGCTGTCCAGCTGGTGGCTGGCAGACAGGAGTAGCTGGAGCCGTGCATGGCTCGGGAACGTGAAGACAGATGCGTAGTTAGAGAGCAGGAAGAGAGGTGGAAGAGCAGTGAAATTGAGACTGTTTCCTTGCTTTCTTTTCTGCTTTCCCTTTCCCCTAGCTAGACTCTGGCTCGTCACCCCCCTTTTAGGTGGAGCTACGCTGGACCTGCCCGCTGAATTCAGCCCAGCTGTGTTTGGTTAGGCCTGCACAGTGCACTCGTCTGTGGAGCCTTCACTGTGAACTGACTACCAACATTTGAATTAGGGGAGATTTCATAGAACATTTTGGGTTCTCCTGGGGGAAATGAGATCCGAAAACACTGGGCCCAAATGCTCAGATAAGCCTGAAAGAACTGGGACAGAACATAGTCACCCCACTGACTTGGCCAGGGCACAGATCCTTCAGTCCAAGCACAGTCGCTCCTACTCCCTGTCGTGTCCCCCACAGCTCAGCTGGTCGGCAGATGCCATCTTTCATCTTTATGGCAGTGCCCGGCCCTCCTGCTGTGTGGAGGCGGAGACTCTCTCAGTGCGATGAATGCTGGGCATGTTGTGCTGGTCGTCCTCGCTGACAATCCTGCTTGCTTGTCGCGAAGATGGAAATTCCAAGAGAGTAGGTGAGAATGATAGGTGTTCTGTTAGTGCACTCCTGGAGACGGTATTGTAAAACTGATGGAAGATAGATCTGAGTTCCTTTTTGCCTTTTGATGCTGCCGTGAAGACTGCAGTTAGTCTTTTACAATGCTAGGTGGCGCTCCTGTATCGGTGAGGTGAGACCGAGCACATCTGAGTCTGTGTCCGATACCCCCAAGTACGTGAAGCAGAGCAACGAGAGACAGAGAGAGAGGGAGAGAAGAGAGAGAGAGTTTTGTTCTTTTTAACGTTTCGTGAATGCATTGATTAGTGAGGGTTTTCTTTGTTTTTAACTTTATGCTGTTCATTCTTCCTAATTGTATTAATTTTTCTGGTTATCTCTTGCCGCATTATAAGATACTTTAAACCTCAGTGGCTTCCAGCAGTCATTGGTTTTGCCTGTGAATCTGCAGTTTGGCGACGCTGCGTGGGCACGTCTCGTCAGGCTCCGTGTTTGTTGGGGGCAGCTCAGCTGGGCTAGAGGATCCGCTGGTGAGGGACCACGTGTTTGGCCAGGGGTGCTGACGTCAGCCCGGAGCGCAGCCAGAACTGTGGGCGGGGCCTCGGACCCCTCCATCTGGACCCCCTCACCAGCTGGAGCTTCGTTACAGCATGTCAGCTGCTTCCGAGGCAGATATTCTAAGGTTCTGGATGTGGAAACCGCAGGCTCTGAAGACCTGGCACAGCTTCCCTTCCTCCATCTCAGAGCCCACCCGGCTCAAGGGAGGGGACATGGGCCCCACTTCTGGATGGGAGGAGGAGCACAGAATGTGCGGCTATCTTTAATTTGCCATAGTAATTTCTGCTCACAATGGAAAAACTGAAAACGTAATAAAATATAAAGAAGAAAATGAACAGTTGTATCCTTGCTTAGAACACTGCCTAACACAGTAAAATAATAGTTGTCGTTGCTTTTATTATTTTAAATTGCTTTGTCTGTTTTTCTTTCTTTACATATATGCATCTTCTCCAAAATTGAGATTTTACTTTCTGTAGAATCATGTTCTGCATTTTTAAGATATGACATGATGTTCTTGGTATTTTTACATATTATTAAATATTCTTGGGTCTATTATTGTAGTTGATTTGAGGTAAATGTTACAGATATTTGACCTCATTTTCCTGGTGAGAAAAGAGCCCCAGAGAAGTTGTGGGCTCTGAGGGTGATTCTCAGGGTCTGACCACGCCAGTGCCAGCTGTGAAATCTTGAGCAGATGGTGACTTGTGCTTGGGGTGGGTTTCTTTCTCTGTGGGGTGAGGCCGGTGGTAGGACTGGGCTCGGGTGATGATCGGGGTGTATGACAGCTGACACGGAGCCAGGCGCAGAGTAAGCTCGCATCGGTGTTTGCCGTGGTTACTCTGTGGCTCATGGGATTTGTTCTGGGGCTTCAGTTTACACCTTCCAAGCATGGCCGTTGGTCTGCAGCACATCTGCCATAATGTCATGAAGTCTCGTCTCCTTTGCCTTATAGAGAGTGGTGGCATGAAGCTCAAAAAAATAAGAAGATAAGACCTAACCCCTATGATACCAAAGTGAAAAAAAAATTGCGCAAGCTGCAGCTCACACCTGGCTTTCCCAACCCAGCTGTTGCAGACGCTTACCTCAAACCTGTGGTGGATGAGTCTAGGGGGGCATTTCTGTGGGGGAAGCCGGATCTGGACAAAATTAGAGAGTATCCTTTTACTCCTTAAAGCATAAAGGAGCACTGAGCCAAATAATGTGTTTTGTTTGAATCATAGGGAACACTTGGATCGGTTTTTTCTTAATACTTTGTTTAAGATGCTCCTTTTTCTCTCTCCTTAGGGTTTTGTTTTGTTTTGGTGGTAAAATACACATAACAAAATTTGTCATTTTAACATTTTAAGTGTACCATTCAGTGTCATTAAATATTTTCATATTGTTGGGCAACAATCACCAGTAACTACATCCATCCGCATTCTTTTCATGTGAAAAGAACTGAAGCTCTAGACCCCTTGACAACAACTCCCCATCCCCTCCCCTCAGCCCTTGGCAACCACAAGTCTACTTTCTGTCTCCAAGGTTTTGAGGATTTGAGTACCTCATACCAGTAGAATCGTTCTGTATTGGTCCTTTTGTGTCAGGCTTATTCACTGAGCACAGTGTCCTCAAGGCTCATCCATGCTGTAGCACATGTCAGAATGTCCTTCTTTTTTAAGGCTGAATAATATTCAATTGTGTGGATATGCCCCATTTTGCTTATCCATTCATCTCTTGGTAGATACTTGGGTTGCTTCCATGTTTTAGCTATTATGAATAATCTCTTTAGGGGGGAAAGGATCTTTATTTGAAATAGGTAGTGATAAGCATGCATAGATACAACCACTAATTATTACTCATTCTGAAAGGATAGAAGAGATGATTAGTTTTATTCTTTATTATTATTTATATGTTCCTTCATGCATATTTAAATCATCATTTCGATAGATACTTAAATGTTTGCAATCGTATTAGTCCTACTACAGTTTTTTTTCTCTTGAAGTATGAATGTATGATATCTGAAACTTGTTTTTATTCTAGGTTAACCTTTTCTCAGAATAACGCATCTTTGATATCCAAAAATGAGAGTTGGATATGTCTTATCTTAGAGGACATTGAACAGGAGACACTGCCACAGGATTATGTTGCAGTAATTTGTCATTCTGTTCTCTTACCACTTTATTCTTTATAAATATGAAAATCTTTAGAGATACAGGGAATGGAATTATGGGTGAGTTTTTTGCACCTTTTTATATATCACTTGTTTAAATATCTTTAAAAACATGTAGAAGCCTTAACTGCCTGCATATTTTGTCAGCGTTATTTTGGGTGGAACAGGACGAAGACAGATGAGTCTCTGTTTCCAGTATTGAAGCAACTGAACGCTCAGCAGGTAATCAACTCTTTTCCTAAGTTCAGGGTGAGGAGTGAACATAGAAAGACTGCCAGTGGCAGCTATTAAAGATCCTTTACTCTTTTATTTTAGAGCATATAACATACATTTTAAAGTTATTACACTTTTAGATAAGAGAACAGAGGAGAACAGAAGAAGGGGAAATGGCACTTCATCTTCATTTCTCAATTTCACTCTTAGGGTTGGACTTCAGGATCTGTGAGTGTTTATTCTGACTTTGAAAAAAACAGGGTAGTAATGGATTGCATACTGAGATGTTTATGGTTGACTATTTTAGTTTTTCAGAGCTATTTTCCTTTAAAAAAAGTTCAGGAAGTGTCCAGTCCAAAGCAAATCCTGATCATTAAATTCTCTTCAAGTGCAAATGCGCCTTCACTCTATAAATGAATTATCATCACTATGGCACATTGGCAGGAGAGATTTTTTTTTTTTTAAAGATTTTATTTATTTATTTGACAGAGATCACAATTAGGCAGAGAGGCAAGCAGAGAGAGAGGAAGGGCTGAGCAGAGAGCCTGATGCAGGGTTCGATCCCAGGACCCTGGGATCTTGACCTGAGCTGAAGGCAGAGGCTTTAACCCACTGACCCACCCAGGTGCCCTGAGGAGAGATTTTTGAGGAGAGATGAGGCCTTTGTATGGCTCTGTCCTGTGAGGTGGGTGTAGGTAATTGTGTCTTGCTTTATCTGTGAGTATGTTCCTACCCCAGGAACAAACTCCAAAATGTATGTACAGGTAAACCACTTAGTAGAAATCAGACTATATCCTATGAAGAACATATATTTAAACCTATTATCATTAGGTTTCGTTAATTTAGAAAAAACATAAATAAAACTGAGGTGGATGGCCTCTCTGAAAAAGTCTCCTTTGCTTATTTGATGACTTTCTATAATGTAGCCATTGTATGCCAATAGCCAAGGAAAGCTTATTGGCTTCGTGACTGATTACTCCTTAATTTCAGATAAGTTTTTTTGTAATATGTTTCTTCCTTTACATTAAAGAAGTTAATATAAATTTATTTCCCCAAAATTAGGAAGTGAAAAAAGAGAAGTAAAATGATCCATTATTTACTTTTTCTGACACAGATATTAACATTTAGCTTTATTTTCTTTAATTTCGCCCCTGCTTTGCACATATATTTGTTATCATACATAAATACAATTTGATCTAACTCCCCCCTCGTACTTATTAACATAAGACTTTTTTTTCTGTATATTGCATGGTTCTCATAATTTCAAATGACCAGATTACATTGAATCAAAGAGATTTCACTTACGGGTTCAGTTCACTTAAGTGGACCCTTGATTTTCAGGTTTTCATACATAATGCTGTGATGAACATTAGGCATAAAACTTTCTTCACATATAACTATTATTTTAATAACATCTTGCTAAAAGTGGATTTGCTAAACAAAGGGCATGACCATGTCCCAGTATGCAGTGCGGTTGTCTTCTCAATGTACCCACACGATGACCGTGTTTTTAAGAGAAGGGAAGAGTGGAATTTAGAAACAGACCCCATGAAATTGTGCTGCTCCAAAAGAAGATGGCACATTTGTCTACTGAAAAACACCTCACCGTCTCTCTGAGTGCCTGGGAAGGGGGTTCTTATTGGAGATGTGGATGGAGGGTTTCAAGTCTGGTCTAGGAAATAAAATTTATTTTCAGTAAATCCTGGGGGAGAGATCTGGCTTTTGAGAGATGAGGAATGCACATTCTCTGAGAGAGTTATCCAAAGCTAGTGACTCAAGGTGGAGAGCTCTTTGATATGCTTCAGAAAGTTGACTGACTGGCCTGACTTTTTTTTTTTATTATTTCATTTCATTTTTTTTTTTTAGACGCAGCTCCGAATTGATTCTTTCTTTAGATTAGCTCAACAGGAGAGACAAGATGCTAAGGGTATTAGGAGCCAGAGACTTAACAGAGCTGTGACATGTATGCTGAGAAAAGAGAGAGAAGCAGCAGCCAGCGAAATAGAAGCAGTGTCTGTTGCCATGGAGAACGATTTTGAGTTCCCTGATAAGGCAAAAGGAAAAACCCAGAAGAGAAGCATAGCAAATAAATGGAAAGAGTCATCAAGCCTGAAAAGAAAGAGGCTTTCAGATTCTAAGCAAGAGAGTAAATGTGGCGGATTTTTGGGGGGGGCCTGCCTCTCGCCGTCATCTGGGACCTCTTCAGGGGAGGACTGTGAGTGTGTGTCTTCAGTGACCGTGCCACAGGAGAGATCGGCCCCAGAGGTACCCGCTAGCCACCCGGGTCTGCAGAGCACAGCGACCCCTGCTCCTGCCAGGGACCAAGATGCCAGCAGCAGCAGCTCTAGTGATGATGACGGAGGGAGATTCGCACCAGTGCTGGTGACCGCCAGATCTGTGTTTGGGAGGAGAAAGGGGAAGCGGAGAGGTACAAGAGGAAGAAAGGGAAAAAGCCAATTAATTTAAAAATCATGTATTCTCCATCATCGGGTGCAACTTAACATCTCGTAATGAATTTGTTGTGAGGAAATAATACAATTAAAAGCATTTGCCCGATTTTTGTATTGTGTGTTTTTTTAAACTATGGATGCAAAACTTGACATTTATTTTCCCACGTGTTACACTTCTCTAGTGTTTTATGTCATTGACTATTTCCTTGTATTTAGTCTTTGCTGGTGTTTCTATTATCGTACAACGTCTGATGCTTCTGCATTAACAAAAAGAAAACAGGGTTTCTGTTGATCAGTAGTCACTGTCAATCAGCATTCCCTCCGACTTTCTGACCCAGGTGAGAAGGGATATATCCAAATTTCTTATTCCGTAAGAGTGGCCGTTTCCCACACCTACATGAAGTCCTGCCCCCTGCTGCTCCCCATTTTTCCTCAGGGTCCACTTAAAAGGACAGCAGGAGGGAAGCTCACTGCCACAACAGACTTTGAAGAGTATGTTTGCTGCGGTTATAGCAAGATAATTAGGAAACCTAGATGGGGTGCGTGATTTCCCCTGTGGGCATTAACCAAACACGGAACCTCTGTACCGTAATGTTTGTCTTTTAAAATGCTTTAGTTGTCACGAGCTGACTTCTGTGTAAATGGCTGTGGGGGGCTCAGGGCTGTGATCGAACCAGTGTAGGCGGGCCATGTTAGGAGTGGCTTCCAGGGGTTGGTTATTGTTAACGGAGACGTTCGTTCCGAGCGGCCTAGCCTGGGTCAGTTTGTTCTTCCTCCAGCTCCCGCTCTCAGAACAGCAATTCCCAAAGTTCTGACTGCTTACAGTCACGAACAGCCTGAGGAGATCGTTGCCAATTACCTTGAGCTTGGGTTCTTTGGCCTTCAGAGCGACTGTCTACCCAAGTCTGTGTCTTTTCTGACATCTTTGGTATTTCCATCTTTACTGACTTCCTTCCCTCCACCTCCAAATAATTGAAAATCTTCCGTACGCCCCCCTGCCCCCATGAGTACTAAATGCAGATACCTTTCAACAGCCTTGGACTGACTGCTGGATGCCTTTTTTTAGGCTTTCATTTGTATTTCCTTTTCAGCCCAACTTCTCAGATACTTGGTCTATAGCTGTGCTTTTCTTTGCTTTTTTATTTATTCTTTCCTAATTGGAAATATCTCCTCTGTTTGTACCAGTCTTCTGTAGCAGCTTCTAGAGTTAACAATGACTTCCATGTAAATAGACTCCGATCTTTTTTTAATGCTGCTTCTCTCTGGAGGTATTTGAAGCAGAACACTTTTCTTGGGGGGATGGAGTAGGGAGACATTAACTTTTTCATCTTATTCTCGTTTTTCAAAGCTACTTATAATTGGGAGTTTTCTGCATATATGTTTGTGTAAGTAATACTCTTGTTGAGATTGAATTGTGTTGCCTTTCGTAGACAGTTTACATTTGTTTTGCACTGCACTAGTTGGGTAAAGGCTAAGCTGCTTGTAGCAAAGAGATGTTCATATACAGTGGTCTACATAAGCTGGACCGTTATTTATCTCTTATTCAACAGGCTGGCCAATCTGAGCTGGTTAGGCAGCTGTCCACCATGAGGTCATTCAGGGCCCCGAGTTCAGCCATCTCCTAGGCTGCTGTCTTGCTTGAATGGTCTCCGTCATTGCTGTATCTGCATTTCAACCTACTGGAAGAGGAAAGAACCAAAGCCCTGGCGAGCACAATGTCCTTTGTTAAAAATCATTTCTCCTGTTGGACTGAACTGAGCATATTCTGCAGAGTATGCTAGGAATACACCGCAATGTAATTTCTACCTGGGCTATGAACCCAGGAAAAGGAAGAATGGATACACAGCTTATGCCATAAATATAGCACTTATAGAACATTTTGATATTTGTCCTTTTTTCTCTTAACCCTCTGACCAAGGCGTATCCTTCTTTACCATTGAAGAAACCAGCTTGGAGGTACTAACTGACTTAACCAAATTCACCCATCCAGTAGGAAAGTGTGACCTGAACCCAAATCTTTTTTTTTCCCCCCTCAAATCTTCTTCTGTAATTCAGGGTGCAATTTTACCTATAAAATAGGTTGCCTGTTTAAAACTATCAGCAGCAAAGTAAATTTATCACTATTCAAAGAGAGTTGGGTACTCATGGGTACGATGTAGGATGATGCCCATCATACACTTTTTCTATAAAATTATCTTTCAGCTTACTAATCTTTCTTCAGCTTTCTCTACCTTTGCTGTTAAACGCATCTGTTGGGTTATTTCATGTATTTTCAGTTTATTTCATGTATTTCACTTTATTTCATGTATTTTCAGTTTATTTCATGTATTTCACTTTATTTCATGTATTTTCAGTTCTATTCTCTTGACTAATTTTTATAGACTTGAGTTATTTCATGTATTTTCAGTTTATTTCATGTATTTCACTTTATTTCATGTATTTTCAGTTTATTTCATGTATTTCACTTTATTTCATGTATTTTCAGTCTATTCTCTTGACTAATTTTTATAGACTCGAGTTCTTTGGTGTAATTCTTGTCATCTACTCTTTCAGTATCTTCATCACAGTTACTTTAAAGTGTGTGTTAAACAATTCCAATATCTGGGTTACCTGTGGGTTTGTTTATGTTTTGTTTCTTTGTGTGGTTAGTAAACTCGGAGTGAATGCTGGACATTGTATATAAAAGATTGTAGCTATTTTGGATCTTCCTCTGCAGAGGATTCCAGAAGGTACTCTGCCAGGATCTTCCTCTGCAGAGGATTCCAGAAGGTACTCTGCCAGGCAGCGGAGGCGAAGATCGCCTGACTGTAACCAGGACCGAGTGGGTTCCAGGCTGGCTGGCAGTCTTTGTAAGACTTCATGTTCCCGTTTCTCCCCCTTACTAAAAAAAGTAGTTTTTCAGGGGTACCAGCTGACAGCTGGGGTGTTTCTTACTTTGAACTTTGCTCTGCTTTCAGCTACTCTTCGTCGGAAAATCAGCCTCTTGGGTGCCTGGGTGGCTCAGTGGGTTGAGCCTCTGCCTTTGGCTCGGGTCATGATCGGGTCATGGTCCTGGGATCGAGCCCCACATCTGGCTCTCTGCTCAGTGGGGAGCCTGCTTCTCTGCCCTCTCTGCCGGCATCTCTGCCTACTTGTGATCTCTCTCTCTCTGTCAAATAAATAAATAAAATCTTAAAAAAAAAAAAAAAAAAGAAAGAAAGAAAGAAAGAAAATCAGCCTCTTGCCCTAACATCTTACTGAGTAAATGTCTTAAGTGAGGAGTTGGTGCTGAGTGTGGGGTTTATTTCTCTCTGCTTCTGGGATCTTGGGCTCCCAATTCCTGGCAGCCTTGCCAGCTCCAAACCTCATTCTTTGTCTTCCCAGTTCTCTGAGATCACCTGAAGTTCTGCTGGCATCCTTCCTTGTTGTCTTCCCTTTGGCTTCTCAACCTCTTTAAAAAAAAAAAAAAAATTACTTTTATTAACATATAATGTACTATTTGCCCCGGGGGTACAGGTCTGTGATCATCAGGCTTACACATTTCATAGCACTCACCATAGCACGTACCTTTCCCGGTGTCCATAACCCAGCCACCCTCCCCAGACCCCTCACCCCCAGCAACCCTCAGCCTCTTTTTAAATCATTAATCAGCAAAAACATGGAATTCTTGGCTGCCTTGGCAGCTCTCTCCTGACCTCTAGTGTGTGTGTGTAATAGGCTTTTCTAGTTTTCAGAAGCAGAGGTGTGCTATAAGCTACTTACAGGTGGAGACAGAAGTCTCTATGTACTTTTCAAACAGTTCAGTGTAACTGAAATAATCATTGTCTTGTCAGTTTAAGTGATCGGTTTGGGGATTCTGCCTCTTAAGAAATCTAGCACTGAGGTTTCATGATCTTTTAAATAACTCCTTGAAAAAGACAGGTAATTTTTATTCACCAAATGATTCTTTATTCTTGTTTTAAAGAAAGCCAAAATAAAGAGAATGTACTCTGCCCAGAATTAACTGCCTATGAATAATAGTTTTCATTGTTTAGGATTTTGCAGTTTGCAGAATGGTTTTGTTTTGTTTTGTTTTTACTTACCATATTCCTTCCACAAATATATATTGAGTACCTTTTATATCCCTGTTTATAGATGAGGAAGCCAAGAAACACATTAAGTAAATGCCTAAAATCACAAGCAAATTTAAAATCAGGCTCCCAGAATGCTAGTCCCATCCAATATGTTAACGTGACCTCAAGTCAACTTTGTATAAAGTATTTCTTAGAAGCTGTACCTACCCTCCTCTAAGTTTATTTAACTTTACAGTATTGCTCAACTTTGTTACCTGTAATAAGTTCTTATTAAGGACATTCTCAGTGACCAGGGAGATTTATACGTGCTCGGAGATGCAGCCGTGCGTGTACATGTGCAAGTGTCCAGATAACAGATACCCTCGGCCCAATCCTAGTAGGAAGGAATTGTAATTTGATGCCTGTGCCCAGAGCACGACTGCACACATTTTCTAACTCTCCGGTGCAGCTGCCTGATTTTAAAAAATGATATTCACACCCAGACAGGTTATATAAAAAGTACACTGCCTCCATTTCACTGGACGTCATCGCTGTGGAGTCCTAAATAACTCTTGGCACTGAAGTTAAAAAAGGGGTCACTTTGCAGATAGTCTTCACTCGCTTGTAGGAGTGGTTTATATTCACTTGCTGGCTCTAGGTCTATTCAGGAGACACTCGCATCGAGCGGTCCCATTCTTCAGCCCCCTCGTTGACGGGCATTCCAGCTCCTCTGCTGTGCACCCGGAGGCTGGGAAGCTGCTGCTGTCAGGATCCTAATCCCTCCTGCGAGGACTCGCTGCCAGCGTGTACACTAGTAAACTGCAGGCATGCTTCGGGGCTGACCTTTCCAGCACCCTCTGAGGTCTCTCCAGCAAAACAAAAGTTGTGAATGATACTTTTTAAGCTTCTAGAAACTCAGCTAACCCATTTAGGTATATCCGGACTTAACATTTAAAAAATGTTGACCTTAAGGTAGACAGGTATAATGAAGACTGCTTTTCTTTTTCCTTTTTGCTTTGTTCCTTTCTGTATGTCTGTCTTTTTTTTCCCCCCAATGGAAGAGGAGCTAAATTGGGAACAAAAGGCGCGTGACCACGTTTGCTGTTGTTTAGCCAGTGACCTCAGGGACCGGATGTTACTGAACTTCACGCTTTCCTCACTCTTAAGCTGCAGGGGAAAACGATTTGTCTTCTGACTTACTGAGACATACCGCAAAGAACAATGCGGTGGCTGTGAAAAGTGTTCTGGGATCCTTGGAAGAAAGGAGTGCTATATAAATTCACGGTAGTACTGTGATTATTTATAATATGAACCAAAACTGAGGTGTAAATTATCAAATCGTTTTTTCCCAATGTTGGAATAACTGCTCATTTAAACTTACTTGCATGATATGCTTTATTTGAGAGGCACAAAATACTTTAATTTCTTCAGTTTAAATGTATTTGCTGAGATGGTATGGGTTCTTTAAAGGGAAAGCTCCTCAAAAGGCCATTTGGTGGTGGGGCTATTAGACACTGGGTACTTACTAATGATGTGCTGATAGAAACAAGTGAACTTTGCATGTATTTTAGATTAATCCTATGGTTTTTCACTACACTGAACAAAATTCATTTTCTCCCAATGTTTTAACACCTCTTAAATGTGGAGATTGCTATCTGACCAGTCATTATAAAGATGATGTCTTTCTTGGTGATAGATGAGATAGTCTAGAGTGAAGTAATGTCTTTGCTTCTTCCAGTAGCTTTTAAAACTTCTGACTCTGAAGCCTTTACCTGAATTTTGATTTGTATTGGATAGCTTGTGTGTTGGGGGGGTCTATCTTAAATCATGATTTATTAATATACAAAATTTTGATAGAATTTTCTATGCTATGTTTGATGTTACTTAAGCTTTATGAGGTAAATGTAAAAGCACTTAAAACATTATTACCATTTGATATCTTAATGTATTATTTGCCTAGTTTTCAAGAAATGATCAAGAAAATATCAATATATAGCCATCGATTAGTTCATTGCTTAATGGATCCAGGAGCTGAAAAAGGTAAATTATTTTATGTTTCTTTATATAATTTGACCAATTCTAAGAAGACAGACAACTAATAGAATATAAGTGCTTACCTTCTCAGTGTTCCCTAATGTCTTAAACAGAGCTAGGACTTATCAATTGCATATTGTATCTTGGTTTGTGTTTGCTAACCTGAAAATATCTATAATGTGAAATGTCTACTGCTATACCTACGGTCCTGATGGTATGTAAGAGATTATTTTGACCAATAAATTAAACATATAGACTTGCTAAGTGTGTAGAGTTTTTTTTAATATGAAAAAGAATAGATTTTTCCCCCTGAAGTGCTATACACTACCTACATGACTGTGATTTCTAAAATATTTCTTTTTAGATAGGAAGGGAGATAAAAATAGTTTTGTGAAAAGCTACAAGTTTTTATGAATGCCTGCATTTAAGATGTTTTTAAACTATAAAAACGTTTTTAGCCTGTGTTTATGGTTCCTCTGAGGTATTAATAGAGACAAATATATAATGTAACTTGACCTTTCGGTATAAGGAGAATTTAAGTTTGAATTCTGCTCTAATTGTAGTTATTTGAAACTGACCTCCCATTTTTACATCATTTTTAATATTAAGAGTGACTTTGCATGGATTATGTAACTAGCCCCATTGTCTTGAGATAAAAAGTGTAGACACACACTGTTGATGTAGACCTGAAGAGCTAGTACTACGTTTTTGTAGAACATTTGTTGTACAAATTTAATTATCTTGGCTTCTTTCTTCTCCTCTCTCCTTTATCCACACATGGACATTTTCTAAGAAATACAGTCCTGGCTTTTTTTTTTCCCCCCCTTCCTTCTTTAGGCATACCAGGTGGCCTCTACCTAGGTAAGCATATCTTTAGGCCAAGAGAGCTGGGAGTATGCCCAGTGTTGGCAGCCTACATGTCTTCAACACAATGGTTTTACTGTAGTAAATTTACTGTAGTGATTTTTGCAAACCTAAACATTTAAAGTCATAATCACTTAGAGAATCCAGCCATTTAGATGTTTTGAATGAAGATTCAGTTTCTGTGCAGTTTATGAATAAAATTTCACCATTATCATTATCATTAGTAACAACGCTTGATTTCAACTGTGCATACAATAATTTGGCAGATTACAAAGGAAATGGAAGAAGTTCAAGGTACGGTTGAAACAACTAGTATTAAAATATTTTATAACACAAGAAAACACACCCCATAATCATCTAGATAGCCAATTAAAGCTTTAAAAATATGTTTGCAGGCAGATTAAGTGTGTGCTGTTGGGGCAGGATCAGATGGCTTTTTGTTGGAAAGACTTCCACTAACCAGAGGAACACTCAGTTCTTCAGTGCTGAAAGCTATTGACCTTACCTCTCCTAACTATTATACTTAGTATGTTGTGCTTGAAAAAGATGGGACAAACCTATAGCCCAGTTCTTCTATTTCCACCTTGGCCTGAAGGTCCAAGAATTATAGGACATCACTAAGTTACACACAGATTAAAGTTAGGACTATGATACATACCAAATAGTCCTCTGTGTATAGTTTCTAATGCTGCATTAAGAGTCTAAGCTTCTAAAACCTTATCCACATTAACTATTATGAGTATCTTGTGTTGCCCACCTCCTGGTGACAGTTACTCTCTAGCCTTTAGCCCACAGAGCAGTGTTATAAAATAGCTCCACAGGGTCTGGGGCCCTGGAGCAGGTTCCTCCAAGCCCCGGGTTCAGTGATTTCTGTGCATGACTCCCAAATCTGCCCCTGCTTACTTAATGTCCTCCTTACTATCTTGTGTCTGTTCAGAGCCGTCTAGAAGCAGATGTCCAAGTGGGATTAAATGTGCAGGAGATTTATGGGGGGGAATGTTTTTGGACGATAAAGAAAGAAGGGACAGAAATGGGCGGGGAGAGCCATCAGATCACGGTGCAAGTCTGACACGTGAGAGAGGAGAGGGAGCGAGTCACCTGCTAGCTGCGTGTCGTCTGTGAAATGGGAGGGAAGTGGCATTAGCGGGCAGCCCCAGGGGAGGCAGGGCCTCTGAGGAGCCAAAGGGACAGAGCTGGAGACGTGGCGCAGCTGTGCTCCCAGTGGTACCCTCCCTTAATCTGAACGGCACACATCTGTGGCCAGCACGTCATACCACAGAGTAACACACGTTAAAAAAAATAATTTCCCTTTGCAGATTTACACCCCTGCACAACCTATATTTTCTGTCTCAGTTTATGGCAACTACATTTCTCTGGCTGCCCAGAAATCTAGAATCATCCTAGTCCCTCTTCCTCATACCATTCATCGTTCCATCCCATGTGTTTTTACCAACTCATGTTTCCTGACCGCTCCATCCCTCTGACAGCAACGATTGCCTTCCTTCAGATCTTTATTATCTCTTCTTGTGCCTGTTGTAAGTACCTCCTACCTACCTGGCTGCCCCCGCTCGGGGTCAGCACCCTTTCTTTATCCTCTCTTTGTCTTCCTCTGTAGCTGCATGATCTTTTCTAAAATTCAAATGCTGTCACATTCGCCTTCTGCCTAAAATTCTTCTGTGCCTCATTATCTAATAGGACAAACTCAAGACTTTTTAGCATGACATAAGTATTTTACCTCATGCTACAACCCCCACTTATCCTACATTTTAGTTCTCAGAGTTTCCCAGACTGGAAAACTGGTCAAGAGTCTTGTTGCCAATGGGCTTTTGCACGTGCTGTTTTCTCTGCACGAAGTGTCCTGTCCTCTCGTTTGACTTGCAGACTCACCATCGTCAGGGCTCACATGATTCTTTCCTGAGCTCTCCAAGATGTGGAGCTTTCTCTTTCTTCTTCTGAGTCTATCTCATTGCTATCTATCTATGTTGCTCTATCTTTATATTCATAGTGCCCAGATACTGAATAAAATGAGTGAATAAATGAATTAGCTGTAACTGAGGCCTGTTGGCTAGACTTGCAATTTGTTCATTGATAATGATCTCACGTTTCTGGTTCCCAGTCAATTGGCTCTTCTCAGAATCTAGTATAACGTATTATTTAGGGATATCAGATGAAAATCTTCCTCAAGCATCTTTATACATCTTTACAGAGTTGGGTTATGAAGAAGAAACTTTGAGTAGTTCTGTTGCTGTTTAAGGGACATATCAAACTATAGTCTGAGGCAATAATTTTAATGTGATAGTTGATGGACTACACGATGTCTAATTACTAATGTGAGACTCACTCATCAACACATGGTGTGTGTTTAAAAAGTAACCTAAACAACTACCTACAAAGACTAATACATTTTCCACATACTGAATAAATTCACTCTTAAATATCAGTCTGCCTTAAAAGTCTTCAGAACACAAGTTTGAATGTCAAGCTTGCATGTCGATTGTTGCCCTGGAGGGGAGGTCTTACCACTACTTCACAGGCTCAGAAATTCATACTTGGCTTCTAGACCCAGTGCTGCTGCCTTAGTTCAGCTCTGGCATCTTTTGCCTGGACTATTGCAATAGTCTTCCAAGAGCTTCTAACGTAGCCTTTAGCTGCTGCTACCAGAGGTGAGCGCCTCAATGACAAATTTGCTCACGTCAATTCCTGCCCAAACTCCTCACCTTGGAGAACAAAGGTCAACATTTGCTCTGTTTGTTCCCACAAGTGCAATCCCAATCTGCTTCCTTAGGCTTATTTTCTACAACACCCCAACAGGTACCTTGTACACCAGCTCCGTGGGCTTTTTTTTTTTTTTTAAGGTTTTATTTATTTATTTGACAGATGGAGATCACAAGTAGGCAGAGGGGCAGGCAGAGAGAGAGGGGGAAGCAGGCTCCCCGCTGAGCAGAAAGCCCGATGCGGGGCTTGATTCCAGGACCTTGGGATCATGACCTGAGCCGAAGGCAGAGGCCTAACCCACTGAGCCACCCAGGCGCCTCCATGGGCTTTTTGACCACTCCCCTGGCCCGTCTCCCCATGGGCAGACAGTTCATCTCCCTTCTCCGCCTGGCAACCTCCCTCTACCTTCCACATACTCAAATATCTCCTCTTTAAGAATGCTTCTCCTGATTCACCAACCAGTGGTGCTTCCCAAAGCACTTTAGAAATACTTCTCTTATTATGTTTATCGTGCTTCTTTCACAGTTATTTAGGTGTCTGTCCCCACAACAATCCCAGCAGCAGACTTTGAGTACAACTCATTTTTTTTTTCTTTCCTATTTGCATCCTGAGCAGTCCAATAAAAGATGAATTGTCTTTCTTCTGTAAATGTAACATCATCTGACCCACTTGATCAAAGAGACAACCTCTGTATATTCTTGAAACTAAGAAGACCTCCAGACAAAAAGTATTTGTGAACTCTTTTCAGAAATTAGTTTTAACATCAGGCCCAAGGCCTTGACATTGCTGAGGCATTCAGAATTCTATCTTTCAGGGCGCCTGGGTGGCTCAGTTGGTTAAAGCCTCTGCCCTCGGCTCAGGTCATGGTCCCAGGGTCCTGGGATCGAGGCCCGCATCGGGCTCTCTGCTCAGCAGGGAGCCTGCTTCCCCCTCTCTCTCTGACTGCCTCTCTGCCTACTTGTGATCTCTCTCTCTGTCAAATAAATAAATAAAATCTTAAAAAAAAAAAAAAGAATTCTATCTTTCAGGTTAGCCTGTGATCACTTACTAATCAGAAAATACCTTTAACATCTGTTTTTTTTTTAATCTCTAGCTATTTCTAAGAAGCACATGACATTCATCTTTGAATAGAAGATTCAGTTGAATGACAAGTCTCTTTCATTTAGTAGAGGGGATTTTACTTTAAATTTTGCTGACAGGTTTTCATGACAGCCCTCAAATGGAAGCTTAAATTCACCTGTCATAGCTATTAAAGACATTTTTCTTTTCAGTGTATTTCTGTGATCTGACCCTTTCATTTATTATTGTTGTTATTGACCTTAAAGTATAGAAGAGAAGAATCTAGAGAGTGCTTCTGTTTTGGAAGGCTTGTGGCAATCTAGCCTCTGAAGTGAATTCACTGTGAGATTTTCATCCTAAGAAAAGCATCATCATAACATACCAGAATCCTGCTAATTTTCCCTTCATGCTTGAAATTGTTAATTCTCAGGAGAACAAGAACACCTGGTAGATTTTATTCACTATCAGCAAAGATTAGTAGCAGGAAAATGGTGTTAAATCTTTTTTGTATCAAAGAACATTAAAATAAGATGAGCTCAAAACAGCAACATAATTGTAATATTGTCTTGGTTATGTTTTATTTACAGTTTGTTTTGAAATTTATGTTTTAATATCAAACTCATTAATAAAATAATGCTCTAAGATTATAGTAGATAGCTTTTATCTAAAGATACAGATATCAGCTTTTGGCTTTTCATATAAGAAAGTCAAGATTCAACATTTTGTGTGAAATTACTCAGCTTTAGTTACTTGTCTCAGGGCCTAAGTGTTAGGTAACAAGGACAGAATATGTGTGTGGAAAAAATATTCTTCAGAAATGCAAATTAGAATTCCATTGTATGATAATGCTATTAATTTTTGGAGGAAATTGCTCTTCAAATCTTAATGAAAGGTCAAAGAATATCTACTCATTCATTAATCTTCTCAAGATTCAATCACATATTCATTAAATAATTAAGCATGTATTTTAAGAAACATATTCTTTGAATAATATTTGGGGACTAGATTTCTCCTTTTTATTACGAAGCTCACGTAAGGACCTATGGTGCATCTTACAGATTCGTTTCAGAGGCGCTTGTAGAATATTGCTAAAACTTAATATTAAACACATCTTTTGACATAACTAAATGACTACTGTTAAAATTGTTAAATAACCAACAATGTAAATAACTAACTACTGTTAAAACTGTTACCTCAAAATCTTTAAATCAAAGTTAATGGTGAAAAACAGCAAAGTTTTAAGATAGAAATAACTGCACATGTGTATTTGCTTTTAAAATCCTACATGTTATATCTAGACAAATTATTTTAAGCAGCCAAGTTTGGTACATTTTGGTTTCCTGTTATAAATTATGCTATCTTTTTATCAGACTGACTTCTTCAGGAATGCCTGTAGTGTTTATATAGTATTTAAATGCAAAAGAAAATATTAATATGAAACATTATCAATTAAATTTTATTCAACCTGATAATATTTTCTGTACAATACATAGTCATCTTAGGTGTATAATTAATTTTGAATGACCACATATGGATGGATAGAGTTTTGCTCTTTTAAGTGTATCTGCAATTAATAGTGGCTATTGTTGTTTCATTAAATCTCTTCAAAGATCCTTTATTGGGAGGATAGGATAAGTAATTTTTGATTATAATAATATATTCACACATATGTTTTAAAATCTTACTTCCTTATAAAGGTAAAGATGTGGCCATCCTAAAAAAATCTGGCTGGTTTTGTTTCTTTAGAGTAAAAAAACCCCAGGAATCATTTGTTATTATACGGTTGTTAGGACCATAGCACTAATCTGGTCCACTAACCTTTAGAAGAAACTGCAAAGTCAGAGACGTCAGACTGTAACTGTAAATATTCACTGGCAAAGTTTTTATATCAAAGATTGGAACTTTAGGAGATGCTCCTGGGATTTAGTGTACTCTAACATCTATTAATCCCTGATACCTTGGGTGGCTTGTCAAAAAGTGCTCCACTTACCAAGAGTATGCAAGGAGGCCCAAGAGGGCACATTCAGCGAAAGGTCAAGGAAGCAATTACTGTTTCCTGCTTTTCCCTTAAGAACTTCCACAGCAAATGCTGCCCCCCTCCCCCACCCCATCTTAGCAAGGCCTGTGAATAGAATGAAATGAAAATTCACCTTCCAGTAAGACACATTACCAATATTATTTGGTTCTTAGAGCTCTTCTTGCATGTGAATGGATGCCATGTGAAGAAGTACAGTGACATAGGTTTGAAGAGGGGCTCTTGCTGAAGATGATCAGTTTTTCATCTCTTTGTTTTCCTGTATCTCTGCCAAGAGTCAGTGTTTGTGCTGGTGGTGGAGCGGGTGTACACTGGCCCCTTCCTATGGCATGAAGTCAAGTTAGAGTTTTTTTGAGGAGTACCTGGTTCTGTGTGGATCCTTAGAAGGATGCTACAGAAGGATCACAGAATTTAGGACAGGAAATATATTTTTTTTAAGATTGTTTATTTATTTATTTGACAGAGAGAGAGAGAGGGAGCACAAGCCGAGGGAGAAGCAGGCTTCCCAATGAGCAAGGAGCCCGATGTGCGCCTCGATCTCAGGACCCTGGGATCGTGACCTGAGCCGAAGGCAGACGCTTAACAACTAAGCCATCCAGGCGCCCAGGACAGGAAATCTTGTTGACAGGAAGTGCCCCCCGGGACTGTGGCCTCTGAGTGTCAAACTTGATCTACCTCCATCTAGCCATTCTGCTCCCTGAATACTGGGGAATGATGTTATTGGAGCTCCTAGGACAGAGTTGGAAATCACATCTCTTAGGACTTAAGGACTTAAGACTGTCACTTCTACTTATTCTTACCTCAATGCTGTGGAAAAATTTGAAAGTCTCTTGAGGCTTTCCCATGCTCTTGAGTCCAGAATTTTTAAGACTGGAACCGGAGGGGCTCCTGGGTAGCTCAGTGGGTTAAGTCTCTGCTTTTGGCTCTGGTCATAGTCTCAGGGTCCTGGGATCAAGTCCTGCATCGGGCTCTCTGCTCTGCAGGGAGTCTGCTTCCCCTCTTTCTCTGCCTGCCTCTCTGCCTACTTGTGATCTCTCTCTCTGTCAAATAAATAAATAAAATCTTAAAAAAAAAAGACTGGCACTGGAGAAATATACATATATTTATATATAAATATAATATATAGAGAATATATATTATATATATATATTTTCCCTCCTACGTTTTCCTCTATCCTAAAATTTTGGAACATGTTTTAAAAATGAAAATTTGGTCACCTTGGAGCTTACTGTTAGGAGTAATAGACAAAAAAAAATCAGTGGTGTCAGATTTTGGCTTAGTATTGAGAAGAATTTTCAATAATCATTTTCTAAATGTAACTTGTGAAATAACATATTTATCCTCATTGGAAATATCCAAAGAGGCTGACCAAGCTGGATATGTAGTTTACACCCAGCATGAACCCAGGGGCAAGGGTAGACTAGAAGGTATCTAAAGGGTTTTCCATCTTGACATTCTAGGATTCTCTGACATTTTATTTTTGAGTGGTGCATCTATTTTAAAACTTTGAATAATTGCAATATTGGAAACTGAAAGTTTTTGATTTTTGAGATTTGGGAAATAAGTTTTCTAGGAGGAGCTTTTCTTCCATGAAGACCAGAATGAGAAATTTTTGTATTGCTCCCAAATTTCTTGGAAATACTTGTATTTGTTATTTGTTTATTTACTTGCTTATTTTTGGATCTCAGGACTGAGGTGTGATTTAATCATCCCCATCAGGTCATGATGCACTCCCATCAGGCAAGACTCTACTGTTGTATGTATATCTGTCTGTATGTTCCTTCCTTCCTCCCTCTTCTTCCTTTCCTCCTTCCTTCCCCTCCCCTCCCTTGCCCTTCCCTACATCCTCTTTTAAGTATTGAGAACTATGCTGAAGAGAACTAGGCCTGGATTTAGTGCCAGGGTCGGGGAAGTGGCCATCAGGACTCTAGCCAGACTCAGAGAACAGAAACAAGACTTGAAGTCAGTGGGCTTTAAGGATTGGTATAAGAAGTACATAGCTTCTCTATTAATGCAAATCATAGATCAAAGGTTAAACTTAAGACACATTTCCTTCTTGAAGCCTTTCCTTATTGACCTTCACACCGTGCATTCCCCCTTCTTTATTTAACTCTAGAATTTTCTTTTATTCTAGAGGCATAATCGACTAGTAAGAATTGTTTATATTTAAGATGCATGAATTATGTTTTGATATATATAGATAGCTGTATAGATACATAGAAATGAACATGGCAATCAAGCTAATTGACATTATCCATCACTTCACAGAGTTACTGTTTTCTTATTTTTGGGATGAGAACAGTTAAGATTTATTCTCTTAGCAAATTTCAAGTATACATTATTATTAACTATAATCACCATGCTATGGATTGGATCTCCAGAACTTATTAATCTCACGTAAATGAAATCTTGCCCCCTTTGACCAATATTTCTCCATTTCCTCCACCCTTGCCCCTGGCAACCACCATTCTACTCTCTGCTTCTATGAATAAGTATAGAATTTTCAATCTGGTGCCTCACAATTCAGTCTTTTTGTTTGTATGGTGATCTTGTTATATTATTTAGTTTCATGACCAAGATATACTAAATTATAATAATGATAATGATTTACTGAGCTCCATGTAATAGCCAAGGTGCTAAGCACATTACATACAGCATCTTGTTTAAATCTTCCAGCACTATTTGGTGGAATTTCTTCTATCTTCCACATTTTACAAAGGAGTTAACAGAGACTTCGAGAAAGATGTGTATCTTGCTCCATAACTAGTTTGTAATTCTTAGAGACAACTAGTTTTTTAAAATTGCATTCTAGCTTTTTAGGGGTAGAGAAGAGGTTTTGGAACAATCAAAAAAGAACTCACATTTTGGCTCCTTCATTTATAAGTTACATGAGCTTGGTCAAATTAATAAGGCTCTCTGAATCTTAGTTTTTGTTACCTATAAAAGTGCAAATAATAATGCCTACCTCACAAAACTGTTAAAAAATTACATGAAATAAAATGAAATTACATATTGAATTGAATATGTAATAATGAAATATCATATACAATATATTTAACATGGTCTAGTGTGTTAACTATATACTCAGTAATTGACAATTTTGCTTATGAACTTGACTTGATGTCACAGATATTAAGATGCCATGAGTTGCCCCAAAGTAATAGTATAAAAAAAAGTAATAATAAAATAATACAAAGGTATCATGTTGGATGGTATTAAATATCTTTAGCCTGGGTAAAGGTGGGTCATAAAGGGTTTACTGCAATACATTATTGACATAGCAGCTTACACTATGTAGTCAATGTGAACAGTCAAGATCTAATGTTCCATCATCAATCTTCCTCTTGTTCTAGATGAAGAGATTGGTAGCCCTTGAAATATGTTGCTTTTTTAAAAGGTATACCAGTTATAATTTGTTTCACGTGGCTTTGCATTAATGGAAATCACTTTGGTGAAAATCAGAAAGCTGTGGGTTTTAGCTTGGAAGAAATGATGCTTATAGTATGAGTTATTCTAAAATAGTTTACCTTACTCTTACTCTGCACCTAAAGTCAACGATGTAACTTAGAATGAGTAGAAATGCTACATTTCCATCAGGTTCTTTTTTCCGGTTCTTACCAACACAACCACAACCATTGACCTTTTCTTTTCCTTTCAGTGAAGAGAGATGATGACAAGAAGGTGGTTGCAGAGATCATGGCAAGATGTTTTGTTCCAAGCCTAATAACAACCACCCCCTGGGAGGAATTTCATTTTGTCGGTCACAAGATTCGGATTACCGAAGCCATGGATTGTTACGGTGCTGTTGTTTGGCCATCGGTATAATTTCACACAAAAATCTTCTATATTTCAATAGTTTTCCAGTCAGTTTTGTTCCTTGTTGTGTACCATTTAGAAGGAAGAAATAGGTCCCATGGTTCTATTTTGTGAACTCAAATAATGCTAAAACTTGTAAGTCACAAAATTGGGAAAATGCTTCCACCAATTAATCCTATTTTTGACTTGTAGGGCTAATAGAGATTACTGTTTAAATCTCCAGTGTTTTGTGACTATGGGAGTTTAGAATAGCAAACATTTTTATTTCCCATTCAACTGGTTCCATTTGAGTTAAATAATTGTAATGAAATCTATCACTCAACATGCAGAATGTTCTACAAGGCCACCAATCCTTTACCAGTTGTCCCGAAGGGTGCAGAGCCCCCCTTTCCTCCACTGTCTGCCCCAATCCCACACACTTCTTTTAAATGACTAATATTAGAAGTTGCTTTCTTTAAAGACAATCAAACTTAAGCAACTGAGTTCCATAATTTCTGTTTTCTTATCTCCCCACAATCCCCAAGGACTTTTTCTAGTCTAAATGTTGAACCTGTTGGAGGATGTGCTTCTGTTGATAATTTTCTATAGTGGTGTGTACATATTCATGCATATATTCACATGTGTACACATGTCATAACATTAGTGTATATGATTTATCTAATAGACTTTAATTTTAGTTTCTGATATTACTTGCAAAGCACTACTCTTTTCTTTTTAAAACTTTCATAGGCCCTTGTTCTATGCTATTTTCTGGAAACAAATGCAAAGCACTATAATATGGTTGACAAAAATGTGATTGAAATTGGAGCTGGAACAGGGCTAGTCTCCATCGTGGCAAGTTTACTTGGTAAGTAAGTATTTTTGATTGAATCGGGTCAGAGAATTCAATGCTCAGATGTCATTAGCTGCTTTTACTCTCCAGTTTACTCTGACCTAGGCCTATTTTTAACTCCTTAATTGTTTGAATGGGCTTCATCAGAAACACTACAAGTTTTGGTTTTTTTAATTTAAGATCATTTATTTGACACACACACACACACACACAGAGAGAGAGAGAGAGAGAGAGAGATCACAAGTAGGCAGAAAGGGAAGCAGAGGGGGGGGCGGAAGCAGGCTCCCCACTGAGCAGAGAGCCCCATGGCTCTCTCCCAGGGACCTGGGATCTCCCAGGGATCTCTTTTTCAGGACCCTGAGATCATGACCTGAGCTGAAGGCAGAGGCTTAACCCACTGAGCCAGCCGGGCGCCCCTTTATATTATTTTTAAAAAGGATTTTACTTATTTACTTGAAAGAGTGAGAGAGCGAGCCAGCACAAGCAGGGGGAGCAGCAGGCAGAGGCAGAGGGAGAGGGAGAAGCAGACTCCCCGCTGAGTGGGGAGCCTGATGTGGGGCTCGATCCCAAAACCTTGAGATCATGACCTGAGCAAAAGGCAGACACTTAATCACCTGAGCCACCCAGGTTCCCTTTGCATTTCTTTCTCAGTTCATCTCCATTCTTCTTTGGGGACCCCCTTCTTTTCTCACCAGCATTTCTTTTTCTCATGACACATGTGACAGTCTCCACGCATGCCTGAGCCTGCTTCACTTTGGTCTCACTCTGTTGTTGTTACCTGTTTCATTGCCTTAATTTAGCTGCCTTCTCTGACGTGTGCTGCCCAAATATGTCTTGATTCCCTTGGTCTTTAGAATTGCACACCTGCCACTCTAAAATCTTGAGAGGAAATGAAGATTTATCAATTTACAACTTTCTAAACACTGGGGAAATATGGGACTCTTGAAGTCCTCCCCCATTTTTTTTTTTTTTAAATTGCTCCTTCTGATATTGCTTCCTAAAGTCACCATTCCATTTGGTATGGGTAGTTGGTGGCACCACTGGATTTATATCCGAAGGCTTCCTGATCAGGAGCACATTTGTGCTTTGGGAAGTCAATTGTTTCACTAAAAAGAATTGATCCTTTTAGGCTGCTTATATAACTTGATACAAATAATAAAAGATGGAGGCTGTTTAGTTAGTGTTCTACGACTGGTGGTGTTTACCTCTCTAGACACAAAGAACTTAAAAGTCAGGTAATTTATATTCACTGTGGACAGAAGGAATCTTCCTTATCTTGGGATTTTTAAAAGGATTTATTGAAAATGACAAACCCACCCACACTAGAATATGCCCTCCCACTTTAATATTTCCCACAAAATACAATCACAACGACCAGAGGAACTTGTCATCATGACAATGGAATGAATGGGTTCTTAACTGGTCTGGGCTGCACTAGACTTCTCCCAGTTCTGCTTTCCTGTTTCTTACCCCAGTCTATTTTTTTTTTTAAGATTTTATTTATTTATTTGACACAGAGAGAGAGAGAGAGAGATCACAAGTAGGCAGAGAGGCAGGCAGAGAGAGAGGGGGAAGCAGGCTCCCTACTGAGTAGAGAGCCCGATGCAGGGCTCGATCCCAGGACCCTGAGATCATGACCTGAGCCGAAGGCAGAGGCTTAACCCATTGAGCCACCTAGGCACCCCTACCGCAGTCTATTCTTGCCTGATGACATGGAATTGCCAATCCTAGATTTATTTATACAGTATTTTCAGGCTCTGCCACAGCTCATAGTTTACTTTAAGGGCCAAATTTTATTGATTATTGGTTTCTACAACTTTGCCTCTTCCGATTTCTTCCTTCTACTATTCACTTTTAATTCAGAGATGGTTCATATCTTCTCCATCCGAGTAGTCTTTCTTGCATCTGTGGTCTTTGGCTGTAGGAACACTATGCTCACATGGTGGCTAGGTTTTAAACATTTTTTTGGTGGGAATATTCATACTTGTAAGGGGGTCAAGCTGAAAACTTGGACATAAATATGGACGTCACGACACTTCCAATGTGATTCTGTTGAAAAGCCCTCTTTCCATGCCGTGCACCTCCTGTTCAACCACAGGATGCCCCGCGCAGTCTACACTCCCTTGGCCTCGTGTGACTCGGGCTCAGAATTCTTTTAGTGAAGAACAGGTGCGTCTTTCAACAGTGACTTCTGATTGCTTCACAGAAGGTTCCCAATTTTTCTCTTTCTCTAGCATATTTTTCTGTTAGCAGGTAGTAGATAAGTAGCAAATAGCCATGGCAACAGTAATTGAACAAACAGAAAACCCAGGAGAACAGAAAAATGCAAGGGAGTTAAGAAGTGCTATGGGAATCTCAAATTTTTTTAAGGGGAGGCATAAAGCTGCCTTAGCATCTGTTTTGAAGGGATTTCCCTCCTGTGTGGACTGACCAGTCTTTCCTTGGGGTTAGCCATTGTGCAGAATTGCAGATGCATGCTGGTTTGAAACCTGATTGCTTTACCTTATCCCTCAAGGGTTACTTTTCCTACTGTTCTTTGTTTCATAGGTGCACACGTGACTGCCACAGATTTACCTGAATTACTTGGAAACCTGCAATATAATATTTCCCGAAACACCAAAATGAAATGTAAGCATTTGCCTCAGGTTAAAGAACTCTCCTGGGGTGTAGCTTTAGATGAGAACTTCCCCAGGTCTTCCAACAATTTCGACTATATCCTGGCAGCTGACGTTGTCTACGCCCACCCTTTCCTGGAGGAACTCCTCATTACCTTTGACCATCTGTGCAAAGAATCTACCATCATCCTCTGGGCCATGAAGTTCAGGCTGGAGAAAGAAAATAAATTTGTAGATAGATTTAAGGAGTTGTTTGATCTGGAGGAGATTTCCAGTTTCCCTAGCCTGAATATCACGTTGTATAAAGCTATGAAGAAAAGTCGGAGGAGTGCGTGATACCCTCAAAGGAGGGCTTTGAAAGCAAAGGTGGTTTCTAGTAGAGTGTTCCTTTAAAGAAGATCCTGGATGATCTGATGTAGCACTGCCTTTCCCAAGTACCCCCTCCCACCCCCAAACTTGCCTCACCCCAGACAGGGAGTTTCCCAGATACGGCACCTGGTTCTGGAGGGCGGCCCAGTCATACCGTGTAGTGATTGATTAGGACAGGGCCTGCTTTCCTTATCCTTCTATAGCACCATTTATTATTATTGTTATCATTTTAATAAATGGTACTATTATTTTTAATGTATAACTATAGGATAATTTTTAATATCTCTAAAATGAACATTCTTACTGTTTTATTTTTTTTTTAAAGATTTTATTTATTTATTTGACAGACAGAGATCACAAGTAGGCAGAGAGGCAGGCAGAGAGAGAGAGGTGGAGGCAGGCTCCCTGCGGCGCAGAGAGCCCGATGTGGGGCTCGATCCCAGGACCCTGAGACCATGACCTGAGCTGAAGGCAGAAGCTTAACCCACTGAGCCACCCAGGCGCCCCCATTCTTACTGTTTTAAATGTAAGCTTCTCTGGTTCTCTCTTTAGGAATAAAGAAAGAGCTTATAATGGGATCTGCAAGTAAATCTGAAAAGGCAGATGCATAATGTGATGGCAAACGTGAGATTACATTTTGTGTTATTCATCAGTGCCAGTTTTTAGGTGGTCTGTTGTCTCTGCTTGGTGGGGCAGGCCTTGAGCGCAACCTCTGAAATCAATCGCGCTTGTGGATTTGAGGTTATGGGCAAGGACATTTCACTCTAGTAAATGAAAAATGAACGGAAGCAAATGTAAACACAGTTGAGAGTTTGGAGGAGTTATTGTTTTCTTTTTAAGCCAAGTACAGTTATGTTGTATAACAGAAACAGAGATAAATATAAAAACTTTGGGTTGAAAATACACATGAAAAGATTCAGTCCTCTAATCTCTAATAACCAGACATAGGACTGGTTTTAAAGTTGAAAGCTTTTGTGATGCACATATATAGACTGAGATATCTGAAATCGTGTGTGATTTTCTTCACATGGACCTTAGAGATTAGAACAAAGACCGAAGTAATTAAGTCAGTGCAAGGAGGGTAAAAAACAAGGATTGCGTCCCAGTGGTTCAGGCTCCGTCGGTAGGTGGCTACTCCTGGAGTGTTCTTAGGCTGTCACAGGGCCCTGGGGCGGTGCTTATTCTCCTAAACCCAGCCCTGTGCTTTGCTGGAGGTTCTCAGGGGTCCAGCACAAATGACAGAATGACTGCACAGGTCCTGGGGTGTAAGGACGGTGCAGAGGTACGCCCAGCAGGTTTCGGGTTGTGCGGGCCCTCGGGCTGCCTTCCAGTGACTCCTGCATTTACGGGCTCTCTCCCGGTTTTCACCGCCCGTTGCTACAGGAAGGCATGTGATCCTACGACCTTTCTAAGAAGCTGAGGGAACATCCTTACCCCTACTTCACAACCAGCGCTGCTGGGGCTGAGGGGGTGGTGGCTTGTCCCGGGCCGTGGCCGCACAGGGCTTATCTAAGCCTGGGGCCTGTGTTCTTACCACCGCACTGCTTTTAGGCTTTTAAAGCAGCGGTTCTCAAGCTCTTTTGTAAATGAGTGAAGTCCTCTCTTCAAGAAGGGATCAATACCCACAAAGGAAAGCAAGTACATCAGGAGAAGTGCGAATTGCGCTTCGTTACGCTTTCCCTCTTGTTTCTGGCTTTAACTGGGTGGTCAGGGCAGACGCGTTTGGAAGGTGACATGTAAGCAGAGTGGGAAGGAGATGAGGGGAGAAGCAGTGTGTATATCTAGGGAAGCGGGAAGCGTGTTCCACGCAAAGGGGCAGCCGTGCCCCAGGAGCAGGCCAGTCGTCTAGCAGAAACAGCGAAGGCCAGTGTGTCTTGGAGCGGGGTGAGCAGGGGCCACTGGTTCGTCTCAAAGGGGGCCAGGTCACATCTAATCTTTATTGCTATCCGGCTTCTTCAGAAGCAGACTCAGGTGGAATGTGGTTTGCCGGTCGTTTATCAGGGAGGGAGTGCCTCTAGGATGGAGACCTGTGGGGAGGAGGGGGACAGAGGCAGAGGTCGAGCTGCAGTGCAGGTCCAACCACACGGGGCCCTGAACTGAGAGTGGCCTTTCTGAGTGGTCCTGTGTTGGGGTAAGCCTTCTGGCCTTGATGACCCATGTCACTCCGTCCCTGGATATGGGCTGCCCCGGGAAGGCTCTGTGACCTCGCATGAGGTGACTCTTCAGCGGAGGGTGTCTTGCCGCAGCCCGGTACTAAGTTTTTCTGAAGGGGCTCTGGGCAGAGCATCACAGTGTGCACCACTGCCCCTAGGGCTATTGAAAGAACTTTGGCTTTTGCTCCGGCGAAGGGGAGAATCACCGGATGATTTGAAGTCGAGTGAAACAGTATCGCTCTGCGTGAGGATCTCTCTGGCTGCTGCTTTGAGAATAGTTACAGAGGGCCAAAGGGACCAGTTAGCTGTCCAGGTAGGTGAGGAGGAGCCTGCAGCAGGGAATGGGCGCTAGAGGTGGTGAGAAGTCGTCCTTTCTGCACGCTTGGAAGCTAGAGCCAGCAGACCTTCCCGCCATATTGAGGAGTCAAGCCTGACTCTAAATTTGTGTTTGATCCCAGCTGCGGATGTCAAGTTAGAGTCATCGGTGTAGAGAGGGTTTGTAAAGCTCATCGGGGGAGCAAGAGGAACAAGAATAAGACGAGGATGGAGCCCCCAGGCTGGCCAGCATTAAGATCAGACGTGTGTATTTGAGACTTGTTTTTGAGGTTCTGCCCCTCACCCACAAGTTATGTTACTATCTGTTGACTTTTGTAAGATTTGAATTTACTACCACAACGGTTTTTGAACTGGTCGGTAGAGTTCTAAATTTCCCTACAGCTGACTCGGGGTTTTCTGGGGGTGTTTTAAGGGTAACGAGTGAATACGGTGGCTCCTCTGCTAAATGTTTGAATATCACTACTAAGCTATTTTTAGGTAGAATAGATAAAGTATCCTTCTTTTCAAAGAATGTGTTAGAACCAAACCAGCCATATGGTTCCTCCTTCTCTAGGTGTCAATCTGTCAAACACAAGGGTTTCCACAGCCATTGTTTTATTCTGTTTATAGCCTTCACTTGCAGATTTTGACACCCACCCCCACACACTGTGTGCACATCTACGTTTATCTTTTTGCTGTAGGTTTGCCACATTTGTCTAGATTCAATTTCATAATAATTTAATTTCAAAAGATGTAATTTGAGTAGGCTTTTTTTTTTTTAATGGCTAGTTGATGCGTTAACTTTAGTGCAAGGGCGTTTACTATGAAATTTGCTTTTACTCTACTTTTCTCTCTGTGTGTAGTGTGTGTGTTCTTTTTTTGACAAGTTAAACTATGCTACTGAGAACCTGTCCCAACTCTTGTAGTAACTTCCCAGATTTCTAATAGACTAAGCACACCGATTGTCAAGGGTTTTTGTTTGTTTGTTTGTTTTTTAAAGATTTTATTTATTTATTTGAGAGAGAGAGTGACAGAGAGCATGAGAGGGGAGAAGGTCAGAGGGAGAAGCAGACTCCCTGCAGAGCTGGGAGCCCGATATGGGACTCCATCCCAGGACTACGGGATCACAGCCTGAGCCCGCAGGCAGTCACTTAACAGACTGAGCCACCCAGGCGCCCTGTCAAGGTTTTAATAGAGGTTATCACAGAATAGTTTTTGCTTCAAGGTAGACATACCAACTTGCCAGTGATACTTTTAAAGTGTCCATGTTATAGACATGTAACCATGAAAGTTGTGCCCCAGGCTGTATCAGTCGCCTCTAGGAAACTCAATACTGTATTAAGATCTTCTATCCTAGAATTTACTAATATATCCTATTTCACTTGTGCCAATTTCTGTCAACCAGAATTTTTCAAAAATTGGTTTTTATTCCATATTTACATTCTGTTTCTTTCTTGGGTAAAGAATTGTGACACTGGGTAACTTCCTATCAGATTTGGAGCCAGTAGTATAAATCCACTGTTGTGGAAGAAAAAAGAGAGGAAACATGACAGAATGTTCTTTTATTTATTTATTTTTTTTGAATCTTCTTTTATTTTTTGAAGAGCATGGTGTTCTCTGTAAATGCCTGGTGTTTAGAGACAGAGACCATCTCCCACTTGTTTTAAACAGTGCTGTTGTTATGCGGACAGATATATAATTTCTGAATATCCTTTGGAGCTAAAATATGTCCACTGGGTAGGACTTTCATACAAGAAAAGATTTACACATATGAATTTTGAAGGCAAACTGGGAACCTTGGAGTCTAGAAATAAAAAGTATTTGATCTACATAAGGATTCTTATTGAGAAGCTTAGAAGGAAATTAATGTATTGTGCCTCCTCTTTCAACTCCATTTTAACTTGGTTTTCAATGAAGTCTGCATGTAGAGGAAAAAAGTTGTCAAATATGTGCATTTCTTTCTCCACTGAAGTGTAAGGCAATAATAAGAAACAAATTTGGGTCTGGAACAGACAAATAATTTCACAAAGTGTAGGGGATCGGGGCAAAGTAAATTTAAAAACCATGGACATTTGTGAGTATGTTTGTGTATCTAGTTCTTTAGGTTTTCTTTATGGAGCCTAGAGATAGTTCACAAATGATTTCTACAACCAGGTTTTTCATATTTTTGAGTTTGTGATGTGACATTCAGTCTAGAATATTTACCCGCAAGCCCAGTTTCAATGTCTCCTCTTCTTCCAAGTTCCACACGAGGTCAAAGACAGTGTCCCGTATTCTTATGGGGCTGTATTAATGGGGCAGTTGTGTCCTCAGTGGCTTTAGCTCGTATCAGTTAATTCCTATTAATTCCTTTATGAAGAGGGCGCAGGCTGGACACTGGTGTGTCCTTGGCTCACGTATGGCTGTGTAATGCTTAGATTGCTGGGCATACACCGCTGGGTGTCTATTCTACCCAACTAACCTTTGGCCTCTGTCTTGAACAGTGCTTTGATTGGCACA